CCCCCCCCCCCCCCCCCCCCCGCCACTCCAACACCAGCACAAGATTCTGGCTTGTAAATGACACTTCATTTTAATGTGTTATAGATTCAGTTCAAAAAAGTGGTGATTCATAACTAACTTTACTAACTTTGCAGAGATTTTTGGAGTTTTTGATTGATAGATGGAAAATTTGATAGCTTGCTAAGAAAAGTTTTTGGAATTGAACATTTTTATAGCAAAATTGATGTGTTGAATTGATTGACCCCCAGATTCATTTTTGAGGTAAAAACTAGATTTGGGGAAGATAATTTTTTGTAGTAAAGTATTTGAATATTTTGTAGAAGTGGAACCTAATATTAAATAAACTATATCATTCCATGTTCCCTTTCATCTGTATTAATGTAATGACATTTAATCTTTGCACATGTACTATTTCTACTTCTGTTGTCACTTTGCATACATATATTCATTTTTGGTGAGGATGTGTTGAATTAAAAAAATTTTTTTAATGTTTAATTTTGAGAGAGAGAGGTAAGGAACGAGAGCAGGGGAGGGGCAGAGACAAAGGGAGACAGAGAATCTGAAGCAGGCTCCATGCTGTCAGTGCAAAGTCTGACGTGGGGCTTGAACCCACAAACCGTGAGATCATGACCTGAGTCAAAGTCAGACACCCAACTGACTGAGCCACCAAGGCACCCCTCAATGTGTTAAATTTTAATAACTAATGTTCCGTCATACTAACATGGTATATAGTCAGTCATCTCTTTTTGTTGAACACTTCAGATGGGAGGTTGTATGAGATGGAGTCTACAGAGAATAGATTCTTAACTTTTTATTTTGGCAGAGAACAAACTGAGGGTTGCTGGAGGGGTTTTTGGTAGGGGTAATGCACTAAATGGGCAAGGAACATTAAGGAGGATACTTGTTAGGATGAGTACTGGGTGTTTGTTACATGTAGGGGATGAATCACTGGATTCTACTACTGAAATCATTATTGCACTGTATGCTAACTAACTTGGATGCAAATTAAAATAAATAAACAAGGGGCGCCTGGGTGGCGCAGTCGGTTAAGCGTCCGACTTCAGCCAGGTCACGATCTCGCGGTCCGTGAGTTCGAGCCCCGCGTCAGGCTCTGGGCTGATGGCTCAGAGCCTGGAGCCTGTTTCCGATTCTGTGTCTCCCTCTCTCTCTGCCCCTCCCCCATTCATGCTCTGTCTCTCTCTGTCCCAAAAATAAATAAATGTTGAAAAAAAAAATTTTTTAATAAAAATAAAAATAAATAAACAAATGAAGAAACTTTATTTTGAAATAATAGGAAACTTTCAAAAACTTGAAAGAATAGTACAAAGAACTCATGAAACTCATTACTCAGATTCACTAATTTTTGGTATTTTGCAGCATTTGCTTTATTGTTTTTTTATATATACAGTTGCTTCCCCATACCATTTGGCAGTCAATTGCATTTATCATGCCCCTTTAGTCTTTAATACTGCAGTCTTTATTTATTTCCCAAGAATGGGGATATTGGCAATATACATTTGATAGGCCTCCCATGATAGAGTGATTGGCACGTTAGAGAATATGTTTTTTTTTAATTTTTTTTTCAACGTTTATTTATTTTTGGGACAGAGAGAGACAGAGCATGAACGGGCGAGGGGCAGAGAGAGAGGGAGACACTGAATCGGAAACAGGCTCCAGGCTCTGAGCCATCAGCCCAGAGCCCGACGCGGGGCTCGAACTCACGGACCGCGAGATCGTGACCTGGTTGAAGTCGGACGCTTAACCGACTGCGCCACCCAGGCGCCCCGAGAGAATATGTTTAATGAGACAGTGTAGAGAGGGCAAAGAAAAAAGTCTTTTTTTTCTTAAGAGTCATTTATTTGTCAATTATACCTCAATAAAGAAAAAACAGTTTTTTTTAAATAAAGTCATTTATTTTACTTCTGAATATTTACCAGTACTGGGCACAGTTATAGATGCCCCTCAATAAATGCATGTTGGCTGATTTTTTTTAATATAATTTATTGTCAAGTGGGCTAACATACAGTGTATATACAGTTTAGTCTTGGCTTCAAGGGTAGATTCCCATAATTCATCACTTACATACAACACCCAGTGCTCCTCCCAACAAGTGCTCTCCTCAAAGCCCATCACCCATTTTTCCCTCCTCCCCACACCCCCAGTCAACCCTTAGTTTGTTCTCTGTATTTAAGAGTCTCTTATGTTTTGCTTTCCTTTCTGTTTGAAACTATCTTTCTCCCTTTCCTTCCCCCATGGTCTTCTGTTAAGTTTCTCAAATTCCACATATGAATGAAAACATATGATACCTGTCTTTCTCTGAACGACTTATTTCACTTAGCATAATATCCTCTAGTTCTATCCACGTTGTTGCAAATGGCAAGATTTCATTCTTTCTCATTGCCAAGTAGTATTCCATTGTATATACATACCACATCTTCTTTATCCATCCATCAGTTGATGGACATTTGGGCTCTTTCTATACTTTGACTATTGTTGATAGTGCTGCTATAAACATTGGGGTACATGTGTCCCTGTGCATCAGCACTCCTGTGTCCTTTGGAGAAATTCCTAGTAGTGCTATTGCTGGTTGTAGGGTAATTCTATTTTAATTTTTTGAGGAATCTCCACACTGTGTTCTAGAGTGGCTGCACCAGTTTGCATTCCTGCCAGTGGTGCAAGAGGGTTCCTGTTTCTCCACATCCTTGCCAACGTCTGTTGCAGAAACAGTCTTGATCTGAACAAGCTTGTGGTGGGAAATCCAAGAAGCAGTAGTCATTTATTCATGCCATAAATATTTGAGTGCCTAGGCATTGCACTAGGCTGTAAGGGGTAAAACTGTGAACATAATACACAGTGTCCTTAGGAGGTTATAATTTATAGTGTGAGGAGAAAGTGCCAGTACAGACAACCAAACAATTTCAGTTTCAGTACAGTGTAGTGAGTGTTATGATAGGAAAGATAGAAATCCTTGGTTAAAAGATCATTGATGACTTCGAGAATGAATTGTAGAATGCATTACAACTCAAAGGATGCAGACTTTGGAAAAAAGATGGATGCTAGATTGCAGGAAATTGAGAGATAAGTGAAGGGTAGTATACTATAGCTGAATTCAGGAAATTTAGCAGTGAAAAGGAGAAAACACTAGTTTAACAAGAGGTGGGTCCCTAGAAGTATTAATATTTTTCTGTCTTTCCCACTCCCAATAAGCTGGACTAGTTGAATATAGAGACTGGGAATGAGGGGAAATGAATGGGATCTAGGACATACTTAATATATATTTATTCATACAGAAATGGAGAAAAAGATGAGAAAGAGGTGTGGTTCAAGGATACATTTTAGTGATGAAAATCCTCACTGAGGGATGTGATGTTCTTAGTAATGGGGTGAAATGAAGTCATACGAAGAGGTGGAAGGGTGAAACTAGAAGCTTGACCAACTTGGAAACTGCTTAGAACGAGCTTTAGAGGGAATGACTTAGGAAGTGGGGGGAAAAGACTAATAAGAGTACTGCCAAACAGCAGTCAGGGCCCAGTTGAAGCAGGAATTGGTATTAGACTTGGTGTTTGTGCATAGCTTCCCATAGAGCTCTGCTGTCTCAAAAGTAGTGAGGTTATCCTTAAGTTATCCTTAAGTTATCAAGGGTTAGATCATCTGGTTCTTTTTTATTTTTGCATAATATAATTAAAGATGCATGCAACTTTTCATTACTATTTTGTTTCAACGATTCATTTCAGTGATCTTTTTCTCTTCCTGCATGATAATGAGACTGGCCCTTTTCCACCTCCTTTACCTATCATTTTCTTCCTTCCTGCATTTTCACAGCATGCTATTTCTCTGAGATGCCCCAGCAAGCAGGCCAAGCATCATACTGACTTCACAGAAGAACAGGCTGAGCTGACACCTGTAAGTTCTGTAAACCTGTCCGTGGGACTGCTAAAATAGCAATGAAGAGGAATGCATTCTTTAGAACTCCTGATGATGAAAACTGGTCATATACCTAAATTTTTTGAATTAAAATTAAACCAGTCTTAAACTAGCAGAAAACAAATGAGCAACTGCATGAAACAGTACAACTGAATGTTAATACGGTAAGATTATATAGGTGGTAGGATATCTTTTATAAAGAAATTTTGTATCAGAACCTAAAGCTACATACTTTCTTTCTTACTCTGAAACTAAGGGCTTTTGTATATTTCTTAAGGTATGGACAAATGTGGCTGTTCTTCCAAATGGGGTTGTCAAGTAGAGTGACTCTTCCACACTGATGCTTCACTGAAAACCCAATTTCTTTCTTCAAAAATGTACCCTCTGATCAGTGGTTGACAAAGCTGGATGCTTAAGAGCTATGCTGTTCCTTATGGTAGCCCCTAGCTACATGGCTATTAAGCACTTGAAATGTGCTTAATCCAAATTGAGATGTGCTATAAAAATAAATTACACCATGGATTTCAAAGACTTAATATTAAAAATATAAATGTTAATATTTTTATTGATTACTTCTTGAAATTATATTATTTTGGATATTTTCAGTTAAATAAAAGATACTAATGTTCATTTTACCATTCCTTTTTTTTTAATGTGGTTACTAGAAAATTTAAAAAAAAAATTTTTTTTTAATGTTTATTTATTTTTGAGAGAGAGAGAGACAGAGCATGAATGGGGGAGGGTTAGAAAGAGAGGGAGACACAGAGTCTGAAGCAGGCTCCAGGCTGTCAGCACAGAGCCTGACGTGGGGCTCGAACTCACGGACCGTGAGATCATGACCTGAGCCGGACGCTCAACCAACTGAGCCACCCATGCACCCCTAGAAAATTTTAAATTTTATTTGTGGCTTGTATTATATTCAGTTGGACACTGCTGCTTCAGAATCATCTATGAATAACAAGAAAATGCGAAGTTCCTGACCCCTGTCCAACCGAATCAGATTCCCTCTGACCCTCCTTCCATTTCTTTCCATCCCCTTCCCTTGCCTGGTAATAACCTAGTAACCCAGTGAATTGATTTCATAATCCACTAGTGGGTTATATCCTGCATAGTGAAAAACACTTTTCTTACCTCACCTTCAGCCCCTCCCTTATACTCTTAAGCATCATCGACACTTGCTGTAATATTTGCATTGCCATCTACTTGTTTCAGTTCTTAATCCTTCCAGTCCCAGTACCCCCATTTTATAACAAATAATATAGATCACTATGTTTATCCCAAGTGAAATTCATAGATACTATACCCTACCTACATACCTACTTTTTAAAATAAATTTAATGCCCTAATTAATACCCATGGTGGAGAATAACCAAAAAGCAACCTATAATAATGTATCTATTTCAGTTTTTAAATGTTTGACCACCACTGTATTAAAAGACATAATAACATAATCATATACCCACTTATAATTTGGATTTAAGAAAGGTGAGCAGATCAGAAGTCATTTTTTACAGGAAAAAAGGAGAAATATGGGTGGGCCTAGAACTAAAACATTTTATGACAAATAATTGCAGACAAAACATACCTATATTTGGTAATAGAAAAAGGAAAATAACCTTAACTGAAGTAGGGATAATGTGCTGAGGCTACTTATAGGCTCAAAGAAAAGAAAATGGGGAAGTATAAAATTTTTACACATGAGTCTTATTTCTAATTGTGATAAAACCATTCACTATCTTACAAATCGGATGAGGCAATAATAAAATTATTTTGATATTTGATATTTTTACAGCATAATGCTATGCTGTAACTAGATTTCTCATTATGCTATAACTATTTTAAATAAGATAGTAATATGGAATATTTTAAAAGTCTTTATTACTGAAGCTCAGAGAAGTCCTTGCATTTCATGTCTTTTCATTAATAGTATTTAGTTCTTAATTCTGTTAAAAGGAACTTCAAATCTCTCCTGTCATTTACTTTCATGTGACAGAGTGCACAGTGATACTGTCCGTTCTGGTTTGGCAACTCTTTAAGCTAGGTTTCCATTGGTGAAATGATTTTCCAACGTAATGAATAACTCTTGGCAAACTTTTGGACAAAAGTTTATTTCACAAGGTAAATAGCATTCTTGGAAGAGTCACTGAATATTAAAATTACACAGAAATATATTGTATTTATATGTAAAACGGAGTTGGGGTCTAAGCTCAGAATGTTAGGAACAGTATTTTCCATCTATATGATTTTCTATATAAAGACAGTAAAAGTTCATGTATGATGTGGGACTTTTACCGTTATTATGTGACATTGTTCCATGCTTCAGGGCATCCAGCATTTCTGTTTCCGTCATAATAAATTCCAATAACACCCTCCTCCTCTTCATTGTGACAGTCCAAAATATCCCCATTTTCTGAAATGTCTCCTTGAAGGTAGTACTGCCCCCTTCTAGAGCCTCTGATATCTCTATTTGTTCTGTTTCTACCTCCCACAACACCCCTAGCTGCTGCTTACTCATCTTCCAGGACTCTAAGCATTTTGAGAAATACTTTCTGAGCCCCTAATTTTGCATTAGATACTCCACCTCCTACCTGCCCCCATACCTCTTAACACATTGTATTAAAGTTGCCAGTTTATCTCCCTGTTAGACTCTGAGCTTTGTGAGAGCAACGGAATGCCTATCCTGATCACCTTTGCATTTCCAGTGCCTTACATGGCTCCAGGCTCAAAGTTGAAATCTAATAAATAATTGAAAAAATAAAGGGGAAAATGGAAAGGAGAAAATAAGCTAATAAACTAGTGAAATGGATTGAAAATAAGCCACTGACTTTGTATTGTTAGTGGTGAATGAAAGAAAATCTAAGAAGGCCCTATTTAAATGAAGTGATGTGCATTTTTGTTACCAGCACCGTGTGCCATTACAGAAGACTAATTTAAGGACATGCACAAACCACTGTGGCCTTTGCTTTTCTCAGTCCTCCAACTGCATACCACTTTTCTCATCCCTCTTGCATTTTTCTCCAGTAACCAGTTCTCCTGACATCCTAGCCCACTTTCTGAGGAATTGTAGAGCAACACATGACTGGCACCATTAGGGGAAGGTAAAGTAAGTAAAGTAAGGCATTTGTTGAAGGAAGGAGTTGGCTGCTTGTGGTTTCTAGGTTTTCATTTTTGTGCTACAAATACTTAAAACTTAGAGGAAACATGCCGGCCTGGCTTCCCTCCCAGCTAGTGAGTAAGCAGTGAATACCTATGTGACTGTCCCAAGCACAGAATAATTTATGATCATGTTCTGATATTGTTTGTGGTCTAATTTTTTGGATGTGGATTATTTTTGGTACACCAGCTATGATAATATAATGATTATCTCCCTTTTATTTTAGGCTGTTTGAACCTTTTAATACTTTCTTCTTTTTTTTAATGTTTATTTACTTTGAGAGAGAGAACATGCATGCGAGTGGGATAGGGACGGGGGGTGAGGGGGAGAGAGAGAGAGAGAGAGAGAGAATGAATCCCAGGCTGACAGTGTAGAGCCTGACATGGGGCTGGATCTCATGAACTGTGAGATCATGACCTGAGTGGAAATCAAGAGTCAGGAACTTAACCCATTGCGCCACCCAGGTGCCCCAAACCTTTTAATATTTTTAAATGTATAACTTCTATTTATGAGTCTTTAAACAAATACAGTTAGGTATCATTATTTCTCACTGATTAGATCACAGGTTTCTTTTTTAGTGATTTGAAGTCTTGAGGTGATTTGAGTTTGAGGACTAATTGAGTAAATCCTGTATGATTTTTAAGTTTAAACTCAAATTTAATGTCTGGAATTATATTCACCAAATAATAGTTCATTTTGATGGCATGAAGCAGATTTTTTAAATTTAATTTGAAATATAATTTTCTGAATATAGATATTCTACTTATTTGAGGGATCTTTTTCTGAAAAAGTAATCTTTGAATAAGATAAAGGAAATAGGAGTAGGTTTTTAAGAAATAGTTTTCTGTGTATTTTACATAATTGTGTAAGAATACATTTGTTTCCAGGGACACCTGGGGTGGCTTAGCTGGTTGTGTGTCTGACTTTTGATTTCATCTCAGGTCATGATCCCAGGGTTGTGGGACTGAGCCCTGCACCGGGCTCCATGCTGAACCTGGAGCCTGCTTGGGATTCTTTCTCTCTCCCTCTGCCCTTCTCCCTCCCTTGCATGTGTGGGGTCTCTCTCTCTCTCTCTCTCTCTCTCTCTCTCTCTCTCTCTCTCATGAATAAATAATAAGTAAATAAATAAATAAATGTTTAAAAATTAAATAAAATACATTTGTTGCCATTGCATGTGAGCAAAAAATGAATGGAAGAGCAGTGAAAGTTATAGTTGCTCTTTTTAATTGTCCTTCCCAGTTTTCTCCTTGGTCTTAGTGGATTGTTAACCTCAACAATTAAATAATTAAATTGCAATTTTAGAAATTTCTCTTGCCCTGCGTCTTTATGGATAAGCCAACTAATCTTTTCCTTCAGGAGGATTATACTATTTAGGTAAATGAGGACCTAGAGATAATTGTCTCTGTTCTTGTTATTGTTTGATCCTGTTAGTGCTAATCTTAATGAATATGCCCAATTTTTTTAACCTTAGTTTTTTTTTACTTTGGTTTTTTGTTTGTTTGTTTGTTTGTTTTTGTTTTTGCAGGAATGGGTGAAAGGGGCAGGTATGCTTATAAGGTTCATCTTGTATTAAAGCATAAATTATATAGACAATCAAATATTAAGTAGCAAACTCAACTCAGTGTAGTGTAGATATGAGCAAAGATTAAGTTAATATTCTTTTCTGTAACAGTGTTTCTAATCTTAGAATAGAATTAAGATTAGAATTAATATAAGATTAATCTTAATGGAATATTAACCTTAGAAGTAGTGTGTTTTATTATCTCTGACAATTTTCTGAGAGTGGTTGCTACTCTAGTTCACTTAAATTTCTTTCCAAAGAATTTTTTTCTCAAGAATAACTTGGTATACAGTTATATTTATAAAATATATATTTATATATTACAAAATATAACTTTATATACAGTTATATTTATAAAATGTAATATCATAGAGTATTTTCTGTAATTCCACTCAGCAGTGTCGATGTATTGTTTTAAATGGTGGTTAGTAACTACATAGCTTTAAAAAATAAATTCTAATTCAGAATTATTTAGGGACAGGCAAGTTTGAATTACATATATATGGAAACAACTATAATTTATACTCTGTGAGTTCAAATACAATTGCATGAACTTACGTTGAATATGTTACTAAAAAGTTATTAAGGGGGAAAAGGATAGTTAGGAACTTCATTATTCACAAACCATTCTTATGAAAATATATTAAATGCTTGAATTTAATCAGTGTAAAGAAACTATACTGTTAATATTTTGTTTATGTCATTTGTTTGCTATGTAAGTCCTTTATTGTGCAATATAGTCCTATTAGTGTTGATATAATGAGTGAATTGATAAGATTTTATTGAAAACAGATGATATCCACTAGGCAAAATATTTGTGGACATTTTTTTCTCTTGGTGTAGCTATCATTGAATTGATCAGAAATACTTGCAGAGTTTTTGAAATGATATAGACTTGTTCTATTTTCATAAGAATATACTACCTAAAGCTATATAGGTCTCTATAGGCTTTAATAAGAGTAAGGAATACATTTAGTCATTGGTCTTCAACACCTATTTATCTGTGCGGTGTGCACAGCACTCACAAACATTGCCTAAGAAGACCAACTGGCTCTGTGATCTGTGCAGTGCATGGTCCATTTTCTCAGAGTGAGGGACCACCAGGAGTCAGGTAGGGCATGCCTGCTGGCATAGATGGTGTCTGCCTCTCCATCCTTTTCTTCTTCTTTTTTTTTTTTTTTTTAAAGTTTTCTTATGAACACATTTCACTGTAGGAAAGAGACATGAGATTAATGATAGAGAATCATTCTTTGTCTACTTTATATTTTAAACACATAAAATCTCTGCTGACTTCTATTGCCTTTTTTGTTTTTCTCTCTTTTTCTGCACAAGCACTCCTATCTGGACAGGGAAACCTCCCTTCTTCTGAGAAACATTGCAGGAAAACCTTCTCATTTGCTGACCAAGGTGATACTTCTTCTTTCCACCTGCATGTAAATATTTGTTTCCTTTTAGGTAGAATATAATTTCCAGTTTTGATTGTGCTCTCAGATTGTACTTTCTTATTTAAGCACTTTTGTTGTTAGTAGAGTTATTTTTTCTCTTACTGAAGGTAATTATTTATTGATCTTAATGACTTAAGATATAATGACTTAATATTCTGCTCTCAATATCAGAAAATATTGAGAGTGGAAAATATTTTCCATAATTTTTCACTAGTTTTTAACTTTTGTAAATGACCTGACCAATCTAGTTTAACATTTTATTTCATTTTAAAGCCAAAAAACATTGCTTTAATTTTAACTTTCATTACTAGTGGTTATCCATGCTCTGAGTTTCTTTAGCAAATTTTGTTCTCTAATTCTTGTTTGCATTATAAACACTTTGTTTAATTAAAACATTTATTTATATAAACAGAATCTTACTTTAATTTACATTAGTTTAATCAAATTGGAAGAGAAAGCTGTAATTTTAATTTCTCAGTTCTCTGCCTTCAGAATGGTTTGAATTGGTCCAACTGGATTTTCACTGGGCTGATATTTTACATCAATTTAAAATCCTTTAAAAAAAAAAGGGTGGGGGGAGGCGAGGCGGTGGTGGGTTTTAAAAAAAATCCTTTAGCCACTGTCTTTATTAACTAAGGAATAACAGAATAGGGAAGCTGAATAGATTTTTACCTCTTTTCAAGTCATGTTTTTATTTCATTATCTTATTTAAATACTGTTAAATTCAAGAATGGTTCAAGAATGAATTCAAGAATTCAGACTTGGTTATAGTTTCTTTGGAATATGTGTGGTGATAATGGGTAATGTGTGTTAAGTTATTATGTCTGAGGGTTTTTTAAAAAAATGTATTACTTAACCTTATAAACTTGTGAAAGAGGGTAATAAGGCTAAAATTAAAATCTCTCTGAGAGGAGCAGCTCAAAGACCCATGAGTCCACAGTGAAATCCTTTCTCTCGCTTGAGTTTCTCTTTAAAGTGATCTAGGAGGGGCGCCTGGGTGGCGCAGTCTGTTAGGCGTCCGACTTCAGCCAGGTCACGATCTCGCGGTCCGGGAGTTCGAGCCCCGCGTCGGGCTCTGGGCTGATGGCTCAGAGCCTGGAGCCTGTTTCCGATTCTGTGTCTCCCTCTCACTCTGCCCCTCCCCCGTTCATGCTCTGTCTCTCTCTGTCCCAAAAATAAATAAACGTTGAAAAAAAAAAAAAAATTTAAAGTGATCTAGGAATGGGGTAGAAGCAGCTTATGGTAGGGAAATGTAGAATTCTAAGCAGATAATAGCCACGTTATACTTTATAACCATAGCAAAGTTTTTTCCTTTCCTCAGCTCCTACTCTGTTTACTCTCTGTCTCCCCAGCATCCACACTCATAGCTTCAACTAGGATCTCTGTTCTAGATGAGATCTCTTCACCTGAGAGCAACATATTTCCAGATCGCTATCGCATTTCTTAAAGATTACCAGCATTTTCCCAGCATCTCCACTCCTACAGATCTCTAGCTTTGTTACTCACACTTACCCTGGGGCCTCAGTTTATGTCCTTCTTCTTGTGACATTTCTGTTTCTGTTCAGAATGCTGCCACTGTCCTCGTTACCCAGGTGTGAGCCCTCGTTACCATCGATAGTGCCTTTCTTCTCAGTTACTATCTTAAAGCTACAATGAAGAAATTGCAGGATTCGGCTCACCCATCCATTTTATTACCATTGCTACCACCCTAAAATAGGCGCTTACCTCTTATCAGGCTACCGCACTGGCCTCTTCATTCTTGCCTCTCTTTCCTCCAGTCCATTTTGTATACTGCACTCAGATGTAACATTTTACCATTTCTGTTGTTTATTTATTGAACAAATATTTGTTGAGTCAGGTATTATGCTAGGGGCTGAGATACAGCTTTGTATAAAATGGACATATCCCTCTACCCTCAGGAGCTCACAGTCTACTTAGGAACACAGATAAAAAAAAATATTAACAAGCAAATAGAAGCAAATTCTAAATTATGTTAAATACTATGGAGGAAGCAAGGTAAAACAATAGAGAGTACTGGGGAGAATATTAGGAATACATTTTCTTTAGATGGTAAAATCAGAAAAGACCCTTCTAAATGGGCAGCATTTAACCTAAACCTTGAAGGATGAAAAGAAGCCAGCTTGAGGGTGAAGGTTAGTGTTACATATAGATAGGCTCAGGGAGAAGAGTTAGGTAGGTTTGAGAAGTTGAAAAAAAGGCTATGTTGCTGGAGCCACAGTAGTTGAATGTAGATAGGAGTGGTCTTGATTTGGGTTTGGAGAAGTAGGCAGGAACCAGATTGTTCACAGCATGCTTAAAGAGTTTGTATTTTTTTTTCCAAATGTAGTGGCAAACTGTTGAAGAGAATAACTTCATTCAACAGACACATGCCATGTTCACAACCCTGGGGCTTTGGCAGTGAACAGTACACAGTTCCTATCTCGGGGAGAGTTATCCAGTCAGTAACTCTCATTTCCCTCTGCCCAAGAGACAGTGATACCAGCTGCAGCATCAGAGCCATCTCTGCTCGGATTATCTCCTTCTCCCATTACCTAGGTGTTGGAACTGCTGGTCTATATAGCCAACACCTGGCTCCAGCTATGTCCCTGCTTACATACAACAAGAAATTTGAGCAAGAATGTGATTCATTAGCATAGAACCTAAACACATAGGCTGGGATGGGGCATGGAGTCAAGGAGGTGGTAGAAATCCCCAGATAACCCATGCTGCAGGAGCTTCTCAATGTCAGTGTCCTCAATACCACAGAATTTGGCTGTTGTGAAGCTAAAATGAATTTATACCTCTTGCATGCCACCTTTGTGGCAGTCTGGTTCCCTTTACCCAAAAAGCATCATGCCCCAGTTACGACCCACCTCTTATATGCACTTTTCCAAACTAAGACATTGTGACACCCAGTAGAATGAACATAGTGGCACTGTGCTTAAGCCAAGGCAGCAAAGGGAATGTTTTGTTTTGTTTTGTTTTGTTTTGTTTTGTTTTGTTTTTCCATATAAATCCAGTTGTCCCTATACCTCTATTACCGAACTAACTATCCTACATACAGTTCTGAGCCGGGAACCTCTGCAAAAACCATACCAACCAGTTTCTTCTAAGAATGGCATTAGTGCCAGCACAGAACTATTTTGCCATAAATGGAGCAGTGGACAAAGGACACATTGTTGATCTGATGCCCTTAAAACTCTGGGTACCATTCTAAATGCCTTCCTTGACCTCCTCATCTAACAATGTGTTTTTGTCACTCTTTACTCCCTTACCCTGCTTTATTTTTTTCCGTAGGACTTATCCCTGACTGACTTATCATACATCTATTTCTTTATTGTTTTATCTCCTTAAATGTAAGCTCCTTGAGAGCAGGAACTCTCTCCCCTGCACTCAGATCCAAGCCTGCATAGTCTCAACAAACATCTGTCACATAACACAGTGGTCCTTTAGTGACTTCTAAGGACTGTTAATAATGTTAACCAACATTTTCTTTGCTTCAGGGAAGTTACAAAAATGCTATTATATTACTGTAAGTCTTTTCATTTTTCACAAGCAGTTTTTATTTACTGCTTTCCCATAAGTTTGTGCTATAACGTTTAAGAACAAAAGGAACTGTGACAACATTATAGTGGAGAGAGCAAGTAGTTAGTCATTTGGTAACTGCCGGTATGATCTTAGAAAGATTAGGGGCGCCTAGGTTGCGCAGTCGGTTGAGCGTCCGACTTCATCCAGGTCGCGATCTCCCGGTCCGTGAGTTCGAGCCCCGCGTCGGGCTCTGGGCTGATGGCTCAGAGCCTGGAGCCTGTTTCCGATTCTGTGTCTCCCTCTCTCTCTGCCCCTCCCCCGTTCATGCTGTGTCTCTCTCTGTCCCAAAAATAAATAAAAAACGTTGAAAAAAAAAATTAAAAAAAAAAAAAAAGAAAGATTAGTCTTTCTGGGCCTTGGTTAATCAGTATAATGGATATAATAATGATATTGGCCTTTTATAATTCAGAATTAAGTGAGATACTATGTGCAAGAATGTCTCATAGTGTGTGGCAAGTTTTAGGTGTTCAGTTAATGTTAAATGTCCTGATTTCTCCAAGGAAATAAACTAGTTGTTACTATTATTATTTGGACTCTAAGTAGTAAAGAGTAGAACATTTCATAGGCATTGAGCTATTTACCACTCAAAGTTTCCTTGGAATCTTTTTAAATTTACATAACTTTTTGTAAAATGTGAAGCTAGATCCCAAAGAAACTGCTAACCACTTTTTAACCCCTTAATTTCAGTTGGATTTGTTCTGAACCATCAAAGCCTTAATAATTTCTTAGTTGAAGGAATTCATTGGCCATCTCTTAGCAACTGTCACTCTTTCTGTGAAATTTTAATTTTTACACTAAAGAGAATGCTTCAACACTGTGTAACCACAGCATTGGCTTTCATTTAATCAGAAGATCTTCACTGAGTTTTGTTCTTTATGTAAATTTGAAGAGGCTTGGCATTTGATGGTTATTGATAGCCCCACAGGAGTTTTTCAGGTTGAAAATGGGTTGTCTTTTGCTCTTTTAAGAGACAGGGTAGTAGAGAAAGTTGTTGTATGTGTGAGATACCTTTTACTTATGTTTAGGATGGCTGTGGGACAAACAATGTGGAGAAAAGGGATAGTCAAAAGATAAGGGGCAGAGAAGGCTTAAGACCTGAGGGTTTCTGCATTAACAAAAAGAAGAGAACATGAGATGAATAAAGCTTTGTTCTTTGTATTGAAGTCAGTTTATAAATAAACTGCCATATGTCTTCTTACTATATAATCTAAACATATCAACAAAGAGTGATCTTTATTGTACACTTTATGAACTTAAAACAATTTCTTCCTCTCCTAGGTTGTTAGGGTCAACATAATAATGTAGGTGAAATCAACCTTTCCGAGGAAGAGGTTATCCATAAGAAGCATAAAATGCTATGATCCTGCAATTTGATATAAATATTTTTATTTTCAGTTTTGCTCCAGTGATGATATTCAGACTCTAAAATCTAAAAGTAAGAGGTATCTTGATCAGTTGTTTCTTCAAAAAGCTTCTAGCAAGGATCATCCTTGTTAATAAACTGGAGAAGAATAAAGTAAAATTTGCCTAGGTTGACATTAAGCACATAGTTCTTAAATTTGAACTTGATATAGTTTTAAAACAGATCAAGAGTAGTATTTTAAGTACGTGGAAGGGCTGAATTTGGATGTTAAAATAGCCCCACCTAGGGGCATCCGGGTGGCTCAGTCGGTTAAGCATCCGACTTGGGCTCAGGTCATGATCTCATGGTTCATGAGTTCAAGACCCCACGAGTTGGAGCCCCGCATTGGGCTCTGTGCTGACAGTTCAGAGCCTGGAGCCTGCTTCGCATTCTGCGTCTCCTCTCTCTGGCCTTTCCTCCACTCACTCTCTGTCTGTCTGTCTGTCTCTCTCTCTCTCTCTCTCTCTCAAAAATAAAGAAACAACAACAAAAAAAATTTCTACCTAGTCCCACCTAGGGTGCTTTACATAAAGATGGTTTCTTACTGATGACTAGGAAATCTAATTGGTTTAATATATGTCAAATGGTTGCACTGTATCTCTTGTTTCATTAATTCTTTCTTCTGGTGTGTCAGCATTTTTCCTGTTAGCCTGTGGAACAAAAACTTCATTGAAACTAATCTTACAATTGAATGACTTTTTTTTAATCAGTGCTTCAAAAGGTAGCACTGGTTGTGTTCTTTTGTATTTGGCAAATAATATTATACTAAAAGGGGAATATGAAAATATTATTTTTATATTTATAACCAGTATCAGAATGCAGTATTCAAATTTGTATATTCCTTTTTAAAATAAACTTTATGTTTGTAGAGAACTTTTAGATTCACAGTAAAATTGAGGGGAAGGTACAGAGTGATCAACATCCCCCACCAGAATGGTACATTTGATACAACTGATGAACCTTTGTTGGCATATCATTATCACCCAGAATCCATAGTTTACAGTAGGGTTCCCTCTTGGGAACCCTCCAGTTTATTAACAAGGACAGTCTTGGATTTGAACAAATGTATAGTGACATGTATCTAACATTGTATCATGAAGAATAGCTTCACTCCACTTATCCCTCCCTCTTCCCCAACCCTGGGCAACCACTCATCTTTTTACTATCTCCATAGTTTTGCCTTTTTTTAGAATGTCCTGTTGTTGGAATCATAGTGTGCAGGGTGCTTGGGTGGCTCAGTTGGTTAAGCATCTGACTTCGGCTCAGGTCATGATCTCACGGTTTGTGAGTTTGAGCCCTGTATCAGGCTCTGCACTGCCAGTGCGGAGTGTGCTTGGGACTCTCTCTCTGTCCCTCCCCGACTTGGACCCACGCATGCCCACTCTCTTTCTCTTTCTCAGATAAATAAATTTTAAAAAAGAAAGTGGAATCATATAGTGTGCAGCCTGTTCAGATTGGCTTCTTTTGCTTAGTAATATGCGTTAAAGTTTCCCTGATGTCTTTTCATGGCTTGATCATTTGTTTTTAGCACTAATATTCCATTGTCTGGATGTAGCACAGTTTATCCATTTACCTACTGAAGGATATCTGGGTTGCTTCCAAGTTTTAGCAAATTTATAAATAATGCTGCTATAAACATCTGTGTGCAGATTTTTGGGTAGAGGTAAATTTCACCTTATTTGGGTAGATACTAAGGAGCATGATTACTAGATCATATTGTGAGAGCATGTTTAGTTTTATAAGAAACAACCAAACTATCTTCCAAAGTGGCTGTACCATTTTGCATTCCCATCAGCAATGTATGTGAGTTCCTTTTGATCCACAACTTTACCAACATTTGATGTTTTCAGTGTTTTAGATTTGGGCCATTTTAATAGGTTGTGTAGTGGTATCTCGTCTTAATTTGCAGTTCCCTAAAGACATATGATATTGAGCATCATAGGCTTATTAGCCACGTGTGTATCTTCTTTGGTGAGTTGTTCGTTTGTGTCTTTTACCCATTTATTGGGTTCATTTTCTTGAGTTTAAGAGTTCTTTAGTATATATTTAGATAAAGATAGTCCTTTATCGGATAAGTCTGATAAATATTTTGCAAATATTTTTTCCTAGTCTGTAGCTTGTCTTATCCTCCTGAATATTCTTTTTCTTTTACAAATGTTTTTTGGGGGCGCCTGGGTGGCGCAGTCGGTTAAGCGTCCGACTTCAGCCAGGTCACGATCTCGCGGTCCGTGAGTTCGAGCCCCGCGTTGGGCTCTGGGCTGATGGCTCGGAGCCTGGAGCCTGTTTCCGATTCTGTGTCTCCCTCTCTCTCTGCCCCTCCCCCGTTCATGCTCTGTCTCTCTCTGTCCCAAAAATAAATAAAAACGTTGAAAAAAAATTTTTTTTAAAAATAAAAATGTTTTTTGGCTTTGGAGACAATTTTTTTAACTTCTGCAGAATAATTATAATGTTATAAAAGTATTTGGCCTTCTGGAAGTTCATGTTTATATTACAAATACACAAAGCATTGATTTTGCATATCAGTCTTTCCTCACCAGACTTTGAGGTTTAAATTTGCTTTTCAGAGACATGAAGTAAAACTTGAAAATATGCCTTGATAAATTTTTCTTCTCTATAACAGCCATTCATACTAATACAAAGATGTGGGAAATGAGCCATGAGGAACATAAGATCATTATCCCATTGAGAAAACATTTGTAAGACTCGTGCTTCCTTCTTTCCTCTCCCCCCACCCAAAAAAAAAAAAAAAAAAAAAAAAACAACCTGTCAACTGATTTCATAAAAACCACTGGAAATGCTAGTATTCAAAATTCCTTTCTAGAGTAGTGCTGTACTTAGAAACCCAGGGTTTGGTAATTTAATAATGGTTTGTTTCTCTAAGACACAGAATTCTAGAAACTAAGTTTTAATGACAGTAGCATAGTTTTCTCACTGTATAGCCTGCATTAAAAAGAAAAAAGAAACTTACTGTGAAATACACAGGCAACATATTTCATGTTGTTTATTTGCATAAAAGGAGGGGGTGGATACAGGATTTAATCCTTTAATCAAATGAATATACCTAGAATAGTCTAAGAATCAAGTCTTATCTTACCCCCTCCATTGTTAAAATAAAGTTCTTTGTTCCCTAATTGGGTTTACAGATAGTATTTCCACGCCTCAGTTATTATGTTAATTCACTGGCTCCTTTCATTGAAAAGGATCTGATTTCTGGCAAAGGAGCCCAGTATCTTCTCTAACCACTATTTTCTTCTCTGTTCTACAGAGTAGTAACTATTAAGCTTGAAATGAGGGAAGATAGCCTAGATTATGAAATGGAAAGAGAATAGTTCAGAAACAAGAAAGACAACAATTTAGGAGAACAGGGAGTAAATCTTATAAATGAAGTTCGTTTTTGTTTTTGACTCTGGAAGCTTTAGCTTTTTCGTGAAGAGTAACATATGGATTGTATTTTTTAATCATAATCCAGAGCAGGTAAAGTTGGCTGATATAACCAGGGTTTTCTTTTGTTTTAAGTCTTATATTAAATATAGGAATGTATAAGATGGTAGTGTATGTTTTTCTTAGATATTTTCCAGAGTAATCAAAAGCTTAGAAATAGAAAGTAATCCTTCATAAGTGAAGATTTACTTATATGAGTTTTTCTCAACTGGAGATTAAGGCTACAGTATACAATGGCCTATTGCTGGAAAGTGTAAGTAAGTACCAGTATTACAGTACTATATGTTATTTTAGGAAAAACTAAACTGTGTAACTGTAGTTGTAGTTCTTGATAATTTTATTACTACTTATCTAAATTTTATAAAGAAGTTACTAGAAATTAGATATTTGGAAAATTATATTTGAAATTATATTTGAAATTTTACAAATTTCATCAGTGAGTTAGTAGAAACAAATTTGAGTTTAACTGACATAAGACATTGGTTATATTGTATATTTTTGAAGGTAGAATGAAACCTAGTGTATAATGCATTCTTCTCTATCTGAATTGGTATATTAATGAGAACATACCTGTATTTTTTATTAGGGACTTTTATGTCAGTGCAAAGAAATAAACTGATACTTTTTTTTTTTTTTGCTGTTTATGATGAAGATACATTTTTAGTATAATAGAACAAAACATTAGTATGCAGAAGATTGCCCGGACTTCAGAGGCGAGTGTAAATTCAGAGTTGAGGGATTGTGTAGGTGTGACAAAGTGGCAGGACCATACCACAGCACATTATGCATTCCTGTTTCTCCTACCTCAGAACCTGAAATTTATTTGCTTCAGATTGATAGATTTACTACATTACAGATTGCTTTTCCTTTAGAAGGTGGAATCTGGTCTTATAAGAGATCTTCAAGTCTTCATCTTAAAAATGTTCTTTGTATGTCTGTCTTACTTAGTGAGTAGGGTTATTTTTTAAATGTGCTCTATGTAAGTGGCTGAAGTTATATTCTTACTAAAATTCAATGCTGGCAAACATCCTTAAGATAAAAAGACTTTTCAAAAATTCTCATTATTTTAGCATCAGTTTACCTGAAGTGCTTTGTGTTCACAGGAAGAACAGGCAGCAAAATTGAAAGCTGAGAAGATCAGAGTTGCCCTGGAGAAAATTAAAGAGGCTCAAGTGAAAAAGGTGATATTTGGGTGTTTTCCGGGTTTGGGATTTTTAAAATCAGATTTATAAAGAATTGCCTTGCTTATATACCATACTTCTAAGGTACGGAGAGATAGAGGGGTATTTCTTCCTAATACATTTTCCGCATGTATTTTTGGAGATAAAATGTATTATAAAGAAATAACTTTGTTTTAAATTCTAAAACACAATTGTCTTCTGATAACCTTAAAAATGCTTTAAATTTGTTTAGGTAGGTTATTTGATACCTAATTTTAGAGTTTCTTGCATAATAAAGTCATTATTTGTGTTTTAATTTATATTTAACTAAGAACATTACTCAGAACATTGCTTGATATTGGAAGAAATTTCTAGAATGCCTATTTTTCGGTTTGTTTTTGATTTCCTTTTACCTGTTATAGTTGGTGATCAGAGTTCACATGTCTGACGATAGTTCTAAAACAATGATGGTGGATGAGAGGCAGACGGTGAGACAAGTACTGGACAACCTAATGGACAAATCCCACTGCGGTTATAGTTTAGACTGGTCACTCGTAGAAACCATCTCTGAATTACAAATGGGTTAGTAGTATAATTGCTTTACTTACTTTTTCGTTTCTATGTAATTCTAACAGCTTGCATGTTAACAAAAACACTTTGAGACATCTATATATATTTTTTTCTATATATAACTTTGGATTTCATACACTATCTTTTTTTTCATCAAGTATTTTGAGATTTCTTTGAATGCAAGATCATTCCCAGTTTCACTTCAGATCTTATGGCTAAAACTTTTTTTTTTTTAAGTAAGAAAATACTTTTTCCCTTAAGTAACTGCATAAATAGACACACTTGCTAAAAATCATTATATCTATTCACATTTGTTCTGAGTTCCTTATTTTTTTAAAAACAAGTCTTACCTTTTTTTTTTAATGTTTATTTTTGAGAGAGAGACAGAGTGCAAGTGGGGGAGGGGCAGAGAGCAAGAGAGGGAGGGAGACACAGAATCTGAAGCAGGCTCCAGGCTCTGAGCTGTCAGCACAGCCTGACGTGGGGCTCGAACCCACAAACCATGAGATCACGACCTGAGCCAAAGTCCTATGCTTAACTGACTGAGCCACTGAGGCATCCCTGTTCTGAATTCCTTAGACCAGCATTTGACTTTTAAAAGGGAAAACATAAAACATCTTTTTTATTTTTAGCTAGATGTACTAAATCTTAGTTTTCTATGATTTGTAATGTAGTGTGGTATTTTCTAATTTTAAAAATTCCTCATTTTTAATGCCATCATGGACTCTTTAAAAAGTTTTCTTTTTATATTATTAGTTGTGTGATTATAGCAACCTGGCAATTATTATTTTATTAGGTATTATTGAATCAGTAATTAATTTCAACTTTATATTTTATTTTAAAAAGTATTTGCATTGCTCTTCCTACCTCTTGTATCTTTAAATATTTCACAGCAGTAGGGGCGCCTGGGTGGCGCAGTCGGTTAAGCGTCCGACTTCAGCCAGGTCACGATCTCGTGGTCCGTGAGTTCGAGCCCCGCGTCGGGCTCTGGGCTGATGGCTCAGAGCCTGGAGCCTGCTTCCGATTCTGTGTCTCCCTCTCTCTCTGCCCCTCCCCCGTTCATGCTCTGTCTCTCTCTGTCCCAAAAATAAATAAAAAACATTGAAAAAAAAAATTTAAATATTTCACAGCAGTTTCCAGAGAAATAAAAGTTTAATTATTCTTTGGTCACAGAACACACATACATCACCCCCAAAACTAAGCCATAAGTTATTAGTTTATTAACATGTATAAAATATATTCTAATAATGCTGATAACTATTCTGAGAGAATTAGAAAGGTTTGAGTTTATAGGTATGGCATCATGGTACACAGAAAATGTTTGGATGCTAGTTTTTGGAATATATCCAGAGCTATAGATTAAAGACCCACATATGTAATATTTCTCTATTACAATTAGCTACAGTATCTTAACAAACTGTTAATTTAATCATATATGGCACAGTGCTTCAAACATACATACTTCAGACAGTATGTGATCACTCAGTATTTGTTGAATGAATAAAACGAGGGACTACTAAGTACCCAAAATAAGATGGTGAAAACAAATTATAAGAACTGTCAATTATTCAGTTAAACAGTAAAGATTATTAAGGACGAATAAACAAAATGTAAAATGCACCTGCTTGCCAAAGATCTATTACAATACTAAAGACACAGAAAGATTGAAAGTAAAAGGAGTGTCAAAGATACTCACTAAAAAAAAAAGATAACTATGTTAAGATCAGACAAAATAGACTAAGCAAAATGCATCACTAGGAAAGGAAACCACACATCTTCACCAGGAAGATGTAATCATTCTAAATGTTAATCTAATAATGGCAATACAATGTATAAAGCAAAAGTTGACAGAACTACCAGGAGAAATTCACAAGTCAGCCTTTGTAGTAGAACTTTTTCACCTAAGAATCTCTTCAGTGATCAGTATAATCAAGCAGACAAAAAAGGATATAGGAGATTTGAAAAATAAGTTTGATCTAATAGACATATTAAGAACACTAATAACAGGACAGTGTGCATTCTTTTCAAGCAGAGATGGAATATTTTCAAAAACTGATTCAAATGTCAGTCCATAAGCACCTGAAAGGAAATTTCAAAAAATCCATATCTAGGATGTGTTCCTTGAACATGGGTTAATATATAAGACATGTTCTTTGATTCCTAATTTGGAAATTAGAAAATCCATCTGTTTAAAATTAAAACCAATAGACCAAAGAAGAAAACATCTTGGAAATTTTTTAAATGATAAGAACTAAATACTATTGGGAATACTTAATATAAGAATTTATGAAATGCAACTAACATGCTGGGGGATTTTGGTGTTTGTTTTTTCAAGGGTGGGATGGCAAAGGCTGAAGGCTGAGGAAGACGCAGAAGTCAGAAGACCTAGATTTTAGTCCCAATTCTTCCATGTAGCATCTGTGTGACTTTGCTGAAATCAGTTAACACCACTGGGCACATTTCCTTATATGAAAATAGAGGGAAGACCAGATAATCCCTAAGGGCCAGGGACTATAATGTCAGTTAAAATTGTGTGGTTCCGCTCTGAATTACTTCACAAGGTTGCATACCTTTGATGCAGGTCTGATGAATACTAACAAAATATTGATATTTTATCTTGGGACAGAGAGAATCTTTGAAGACCATGAAAACTTGGTTGAAAATCTTCTTAATTGGACAAGAGATAGCCAAAACAAGCTTATATTTATGGAACGTATAGAAAAATATGCACTTTTCAAAAACCCACAGGTGAGACTGAATAACTTACAGAAGCCATGATTTCTAAATGTTCACCTTACATTATTCTATTACTTTTAAGTTAATAGAGTTTAAAACAAAAAACAAAAAACTGACAACCACCTGGTTGGAGCATTGTGGTTGCAAAACCTCATGGGAGCATTCACTATTGCTGAAGTGGAAGGTCTGCTGGGGCCCTGGTGTCAGGCCTCAAAGAGGCTACCAGTCTCACAGAGCCAGATGGGGTGAGCCTTTGGGGCATCAGAAGGAACTCCAGGGAGATACCAGGTTTCTCCTCTTTGTAATCCAGAGCTGTTGAACTCAGCTGTTTATTTGGTGAGCTTCTCATCTATCAAAGAAAAGTACTTTCATATTTAAATTCTCTACTTCCTCCATTTATCCAGTTGACACTTTATTTTGACTTTTTAAAAAATCTCAATAACCTTGATTATAAATGATTCTACCTTCTAGTTTAAGTTACCTTGATTTATTTGGCATCTTTGCTTATTTCAGAATGTTTAATACTTCCTAACACAAATATTTTATAAAAATCAGTAGGTAAGAGAAAACAACTCCACTATAAAAGGAAGTAATGAAAAATGGTTGCAGTGTTAAAAGTATTAAATAATTATCCTTCAGACAGCTTAATCATGATACATTTTTACCAGATATTTTTAGTGAACAGTACACATTTGGGAATATTAATAGATCCTTTTATACGTGATTATGAAAAAGTTTAGAATTAGAATTCAGATTTTAGTTGAGTCAAGCAAATGATATAATGATAGTCTTAGAGAATTGAGAATTTCTTCTCTTAAAGCCAGAACACAAATTAAAATTTTTGTATCTGGATCACTTAAGCTTAGCATATTTTAAGGAAATTTGCCTTACTCTACTAAATTTGTAAACCTTTCAGGTCCTTTCATCAGTTGTTGAAAACATTTGCCATTTGTTACATGTGATATCACCTCCGGATTTGGGGCAGGGCTGTTTATGGAATAGTTCAAGATATTGGGAAAAATGAGGAGGAGGAGGCATTTAGCCCTGATGCTCATGCACCAGTTACTTTTCAGAGCAGTATTCCTCTCATTCTATACAAGAAGACACAATTGCGAAATCTCTACAAGAAATCATATATGCACCTGTTCCAAGGGAATAATAGGGTGGGTTTATTCCTTAACTTTCATCTATTTATTTTTCCAGAATTATCTTCTGGGGAAAAAGGAAACCGCTGAGATGGCAGATAGAAATAAAGAAGTGCTGTTGGAGGTATGACTCTTCACTCCCCTCACCGTCTTTTTTCCTGCACATTAAAATATTAAAATACTAAGCACCTTTTTTGAAGTTGAGTATATCAATGCTATATATTCATAATTGCACTTGCAACTAGAGAAGCCTATATTCCTCCATATCCTGAGGGGGAGAATTCAACTATGTGACTGTTAGGCCACTGAAGAACCTCTTAAAATCTGTTATTTTGCCAAGTAATATATCAGTGGACTAAAAAGGAGTCATGAGCTGTTAGAAGCTGACAGGTGGGGAAAAAAGACTAGTCAATGAAGGACATGACTGTGGCGTTTTATCTATTTACCCAAAGAGAAATTTGAATATACTTAGTTATTTACGGAATACTTCAAGCCTTACCTTTATATAATTCAAATAATTTTATAAATCATGATCTTTTAAGATGTACACATATATACATACATACACACACATGCACACACACACATACATACGCCCCAATGTTAATAAAATAAATTCAAACATAACTCAGTTTTTTGTTTTTTGGCCTTTGCTGATTTTAGAGAACTAAAATCAAAGAAGTTAGTATATTTCAAAACCAGAATAAACTTAGTTAGCAAAAAGGCAATTAGGAAAATGAAGGTCAACACTCACCTTTTCATAGTAATACTAGTTACAATTAAAAATCCTCTTTAGGGCACCTGGGTGGCTCAGTCGTTTAAGCGTCCAACTTCAGCTCAGGTCACGATCTCACGGTCCGTGAGTTCGAGCCCCGTGTCGGGCTCTGGGCTGATGGCTCAGAGCCTGGAGCCTGCTTCCGATTCTGTGTCTCCCTCTCTCTCTGCCCCTCCCCCGTTCATGCTCTGTCTCTCTCTGTCTCAAAAATAAATAAACGTTAAAAAAAAAAATCCTCTTTATACTTCCTGATTTCTCTGTACTTGGAGAAGAGAGAAATTAATTTAGGTTCAAAATATTCTATGTTAATATTTAGTAAGGATTTCTATTTTTCTCTTACCAAATACATAACTGATTTTTTAATTACATTTTTATCTAATATAGACATTAGAATTCATAATTTTGAGTTTACATTGCTTTCAACCTAGTTTTAAATCTTTAGAAAATTGGGGCGCCTGGGTGGCTCAGTCGGTTAAGCGTCCGACTGCAACTCAGGTCACGATCTCGCAGTCCATGAGTTCGAGCCCCGCGTCGGGCTCTGGGCTGATGGCTCAGAGCCTGGAGCCTGCTTCCAGTTCTGTGTCTCCCTCTCTCTCTGCCCCTCCCCTGTTCATGCTCTGTCTGTCTCTGTCTCAAAAATAAATAAAACGTTAAAAAAAATTAAAATAAATCTTTAGAAAATAAATGACCTCTTTGTTTTAGAATCATATAAATTGATAATTTTTAAATTGTGAATTTTAATTTATCACTTAGCAGGTTGCTTTCTTTTAAAATTTAGTTTGACAGCTAATCAAAATGTGTTGTTAATTTGGAGAAAAAATAAAATCTAATGCTTATGTTAGCTCAGAGACTTTTATTAAATTTAGTGTTATACTAACTTACTAAATTTAGTGTTATAGTGTAAATGCTGTTTTCAGATGCATTTAAATCCTGTTACATGCAGCTCAGTTGACAGTTCAGCTTACTTTCTTCAAAACAGTGTTAGGTAGGGACACCTGGGTGGCTCAGTTGGTTGAGCATCTGACTCTTGATTTTTGACTCAGGTCATGATCTCAGAGTCATAGGATGGAGCCCTGAGTCAGGCTCCACCCTGAGCATGGATCCTGCTTAAGATTCTTTCTCTCCCTCTGCCCCTCTCACCCGCACCTGCATACCCATGTTCACTCGTGTGCGCGCTCTCTCTCTCTCTAAGTTAAAAAAAAAAAGGGGGGGGGGTGCCTGGGTGGCTCACTCGGTTAATTAAACGTTCAACTTTGGCTCAGGTCATGATCTCATGGACTGTGAGTTTAAGCCCCATGTCAGGCTCTGTGCTGACATCTTAAAGCCTGGAGCCTGCTTCAGATCCTGTGTTTCCCGCTCTCTCTGCCCCTCCCCTACTCCCACTCTGTCTTTATCTCAAAAATAAACATTAAAAAAAATTTTTTTTTTTTAAGTGTCAGGTGAAAGTTCATAGGGATAGCCATAGTTGTTTCACAATAAATCTACATGATGTTTAGAATAGGATGTTCTAACTGAGGTAAAATTAGCAATGTGGTTTTACTACAAAGCCATTTTGGTTTAATTATAGTATCATGGATTTTACAGGATAAACACAGTTTTGTTTTGAGAATCAAAAGATCACATGTCTTTCCAAATCATCTTCTTATTTTAGGAATGTTTTTGTGGAAGTTCTGTAACTGTACCAGAAATTGAAGGAGTCCTGTGGCTGAAAGATGATGGTAAAAAGTCCTGGAAAAAGCGTTATTTTCTCTTGCGAGCATCTGGTATCTACTATGTCCCTAAAGGAAAAGCAAAGGTGTGTCCCTTCTGTTGGCTTTTGAGCTTCCTCATTATGGCAATTGATTTCAATCTGCAGTGAGTATGCTGACAGGGTGAATCCAGGCTCTGATGGTTTCAACTCTTGTAGGACACACAGGATACTGCTTTGTTTATTGATCTGTTATAAAGAAAAAGACCCCTGAAAGTGGTCACACTTTGGTCATTCATTGGGCCCATCTCAATTATCTTGTCACATTTGAAATCATACTGTTATTTAGTATTTTTGGAACTTCTGTCAGAGTAGGTTTTGCTTGTTATTGTTTGGGGAGAATAGATTTTTGGGATTATAGGCATTTCAGCCTCACTGGGATAATATGCTCCTGCTGAGGGCCCGTTTGGTAGCTGTCACTTCTCTGCTTACTAGGGACCAGCACTGTTTTAAACTCTTTACAGCATCGTCTTATCCAGTCTTAACCACCATCCTAAGAGGTATATTTTGTTGCCTCTATTTAAGGTGAGGAAACGCTGACTTAAGAATCATTGTACTTGAGATATGCATTACAAGCACTGAACTACACGATTCTTTATTTTTTTCCAGAGCTCTGTTATACTATGTTGTATTTAATATACTATATTATATTTAAAGTCTCTTTAAAATGCCACCCTTTCCAAGTAAGTGTGTTCATTGTGAATGGCAGGCAGTAAGTGAAATGGACTGCCTTTTTGTTGCATTATGGATAAAAGAAGGAACATTTATAGAGAATCTCACTGTCTTGTTATCTACAAAATATCACTATTTCCACTAAGCAAAGTTTTTATTCTCCACCAGAAACTGTTAACCAAGTATGCTATTTGCTTCTTTATACATTATTGTTCATTCAGTCTTTTGGGTGTTTTTATCTTAGGTCTCTCGAGAACTGGTGTGCTTTCTCCAACTGGATCATGTCAATGTTTATTATGGACAGGACTATCGGAACAAATACAAAGCACCCACAGATTATTGTCTGGTGCTAAAGGTAAGCATGTTTCTCTTTTTAGGAATTAAAAAAAAATGTAATGTTTATTCTTAGAGAGAGAGAGAGAGAGAGGGGAGGGGCAGAGAAAGAGGGGGACACAGGATCCGAAGCAGGCTCCAGACTCTGAGCTGTCAGCACAGAGCCCGACATAGGGCTCAAACTCATGGACCGCGAGATCATGACCTGAGCTGAGGTTGAATGTTTAACCAACTGATCCACCCAGACACCCCTCTTTTTAGGAATTTTAATTGATGTTAGACATAGAGCTAGTTATTGGACATTTTAGAATCGTTTATATCTCTATTAAGTATACTATTTTTGCCTTCTCTTTAAGTTTTGAAGAGAATAGTGAAGGATGGTAAGGAAAAGAAGTATATGCTTAAACCACAGCTGACCACTAACTCAATAGCCCTAATTAGATTGATGTTGCTAAGAAATGGATACTGTATAAGCTTTGGGTCAGAATATACAAAATATTTAAATTTTACATTTGAGATTTTTATCTAAAAGCAGGCTAATTTTAGGAAACTTAGCTCAAAGCCAAAAGTGGGAAATAGGTATTTTGTGTTTTAGTTCTTTTCCTGTATTTACCCAGCAGAACCATCAGGGGGCAGTGTGCCCAATTTCAAAGTGGACTGGCTCAAATCTGGTCCAGAAATGATTTTTGTCACTTTTTCCAGCAAACCATAGCCCTGATAGCCAATGCATATATTATGACCCATCTGAGCTGTTTTTAGTGAGTTTCTTCCCTCTTTTATCCAAACTTTTGAGCTTCTCACACGGACTATAACTGTGCTTTTGAGAACTGATATTTTTAGTGCATTTTTAGTAATCTTTGGAACACTGATAAAGAAAACATTTAAAAATTCAAGATAGGGGCACCTGGGTAGCTCAGTTGGTTAAACATCCAACTTCAGCTCAGGTCATGATCTCATAGCTCGTGGGTTCAAGCCCCAGGTTGGGCTCTGTGCTGACAGCTCAGAGCCTGGAGCCTACTTCAGATTTTGTGTCTCCCTCTCTCTCTGCCCCTCCCCTGCTTGTGTGTGTGTCTCTCTCTCTCAAATATAAATAAACATTTAAAAAAATAAAAATAAAAGTTCAAGATAATTATGGAGATGACTTAAGTTTTCCTCATTGGTTCCATCTTAGTTACCTCTTGGGTAACTACTTATGTCTACATGTTTATGTCATTGATATTTCTTTTCTCTGAGAATTGTCAGTTGAGTTTGGGGGTAGAGTTTTCATTGCTTTGGTAAAATTAACTGTATTGTAATGGTACCCCTTTATTAAATAATCCTTTCCTGGAGAATACCACTGTATCATTTAGGTTATAGCAACAAATAATTTTTTAAAGGTCATTACAAAGTAGCTCAATCCAGTAGTTTTCAAAATAAAGTCCAAGCTCCCTGGGAGTCCCTGAAACTCTGTCAAGGGGCCTGTGGTGTCAAAATTACTATTCCGGTAATGCTGAGATGTTATTTGTCTTTCACACTCTCATTCTCTCACAAATGTATTGTGGAGTTTTCTAAGAGATTACATGACATGTGATGATAATTTTGCTGTCTTAGGTAATGGAACATATATTTGTATACTTTTGTATTTTAATTTTTCTCAGTTTTAATTTCTTATAAGGTAAGTATCAGTAGACATAACCCATATAAGTGAAAGTTATTTAGGGGTCTCATAACATGAAGACAGTAAGAGTTGGTTATTTCAAGGAGTCAGGGTTGTAAGAACCGAAATTTCTTCCTTCTTTCCCTATTCCATCTTCTGCCTTACCAGCTTATCCTCAGGCTGGCTTACTTCACAGGTACAGATGACCACTGTAGTTCTAGGCATCACCTGGATGATGGATCCATGATGCAGTGGATCTAGAAAAATCCAGCAGCAGAAGAGGGACTATTACTCCCTGTATTTGTCTAAGAGTGAGGAAATATTTCCCAGGAGCTACCAACAGTCCTTCTCTTGAGAATCGTTGGCCTGAGGACATGCGTACCTTTTTTTTTTTTAAATTATTTTTTAAATTGAAGCACAATTATCAGATGGTGTTTTAATACTTTCAGGTGTACAATATAATTCAATAATTTATACATTTCTTCTTGCTCATTAAGAAGAATGTACTCTTAATCCCCTTTATTTCTCCTGTCCCCCCACCCATGCCCCCTTAACCACCAGTTCTATGTATTTAAGAGTCTGTTTTTGTCTTTTTTTGTTTGTTCATTTGTTTCTTAAATTTCACATATGAGTGAAATCCTATGCTGTTTGTCTTTCTCTGACTTATTTCACTTAGCACTATACTCTCTACGTTCATTCATGTTGCAAATGGCAAGATCTCATTATTTTATGGCTGAGGAATACTCCTCTGGGTGTGTGTGTGTGTGTGTGTGTGTGTGTGTGTGTGTGTGTATGTACACACACCACCATGTCTTATTTATCCATTCATCTATCAGTGGACATTTGGGTTGCTTCCGTAATTTGGCTATTGTATATATTGTTACAGTAAACATAAGGGTGCATGTATTTTTTTGAATTAGTGTTTTTGTTTTCTTTGGGTAAATACCCAGTAGCAAAATTACTGTATCATATGGTAATTCTATTTTTAATTTTGAGGGGAAATTCCATACTGTTTTCCATAGTGGCTGCACCAGTTTGCATTCCCACCAACAGTGCACAAAGATTCCTTTTTCTCTATATCCTAACACTGGCTATATCATATGTTTTCGATTTTAGCCATTCTCACAGTTGTAAAGTGATATCTCATTATGGTTTTAATTTGCGTTTCCCTGATGATGAGTGATGTTGAGCATCTTCTGTGTCTGTTGGCCATATGTATGTCTTATTTGGAAAAATTCTGTTCAGATCCTCTGCTCATTTTTTGATCAGATTATTTGTCTTTTTGGGTATTGAGTTATGTAAATTCTTTATATACTTTGGATATTAACCCCTTATTTGACACATCATTGGCAAATATCGTCTCCCATTTGTAGGTTGTCCTTTTGTTGATGATTTCCTTTGCTGTGCAGAAGCTTTTTATATTGGTGTGGTCCCAATAGTTTGGTTTTTTTTATAATTTTTTTTAACATTTATTCATTTTGTGGGGTAGGGGCAGAGAGAGAGGGAGACAGAATTAGAAGCAGGCTCCAGGCTCTGAGCTGTCAGCACAGAGCCTGACATGGGGCTCGAGCTCACAAGCTGTGAGATCATGACCTGAGCTGAAGTTGGATGCTTAACCGACTAGCCACAAGGGTTTATTTTTTTTCTTTTATTTTCCTTGCCTGAGGAGACATACTCATAAATATGTTGCTAGAGCTGATGTCCAAGAGATTACTGCCTGTGTTTTCTTTTAGGAGTTTTATGGTTTTCAGGTCTCACATTTAGGTCTTTAATCCATTTTGAGTTTATTATTGTGTATGGTGTAAGAAAGTGGCCCAGTTTCATTCTTTTACATGTAGCTGTTCAGTTTTCCCATCACCATTTGTTGAAAAGACTGTCTTTTCCCCATTGTATATTCTTGCCTCTTTTGGCGTAAATTAACCATATAAGCATGGGTTTCTTTCTGAATTTTATATTCCGTTCCATTGATCTATGTGTCCTTTATTTGTGCCAGTAATACTGTTTGATTACTACAGGTTTGTAGTATATCTTCAAATCTGAGATTATGATACTTCCAGCTTCATTGTTCTTTTTCAAGATTGCTTTGGCTATTTTTGGTCTTCTGTGGTTTCATACAAATTTTAGTATTATTTGTTCTAGTTACATGAAAAATGCTGTTAGTATTTTGATAGCAATTGCATTAAAGCTATAGGTTGCTTTGGGTAATATGGGCGTTGTAAGATTTGTTCTCCCAATCCATGAAATTGGACTGTCTTCCCATTTCTTTGTGTCATCTTCCATTTCTTTATCAGTGTTTTATAGTTCTCGTAGTACAGGTCTTTCCTTGGTTATGTTAATTCCATTATTTTTGGCTTAGCCTAATCAGAATGCACATCCTAAGATGAGGGATTGACAGACTTCCAAACAAAATTGAGGCTCTTTCAGAAAAGAAGTAGGGGAGAAGAAATAGCTGTGAGGAAGGCAACAAACAGTGTCTCTTACAGCCAAAATTAATTATGACCACTATTATTTTAATCCCTTTTGCAGCTCACAGAATTCTTAGGTCAGGAATACTTTTGTTCAGAGGAGTTGTTCGCTAGCTTATATAGTAATTTATGTACTTCATATTTGCTTTTAGTGAAGTGTAGGTTAAGCTGAATTCATATATTTATATTGCCTACCTACTTATATCTAAAAATGTTCAAGGTACTGAAATAAACCATACCGCTAGGCACAAATAGTAGTAAAAATAATGGCTGTCATTTATCGAAGAACTCTAGGGCAGCAGACACTGCGCTAGAAGCACTGCATGACAGTGTCACACAGATCTGTTCTAGAGTCCCCATTTTTCAGATATGGAAACTGAGGTTTAGAGGGATCAATGTTTTTGAGACGACACAACTGTTAGTATTTAAGACCTGCCTTTTTTTCCTGCAAAGTCTGTACTAGATTTTGCCTATGTAAGTATTTTTATTCTTGGGCATATGAGTTCTAACAAACCCAAAAATGCTGCCACACAGGATCTACACAAATGTAAACATTTATAGGGTCTGATTCTACTTATCACCTTTGGGCTATAATGACTGAGTCAGTTCTTCCAGTAAAATGCAGGATACAGGAAATACAATACACACTTGTAGAAAGTAATAAAGCACATTGTTTAGTAACTAGTTTATTTTTTTATTTTTTTAATGTTCATTTATTTTTAAGAGAGAAAGACACAGAGTATGAGCAGGGAGGGACAGAATCCAAGGCAGGCTCCAGCCTCCGAGCTGTCAGCACAGAGCCAGATGTGGGGCTCAAACCCATGAAACATGAGATTATGACCTGAGCAGAAGTACAATGCTTAACTGAATGAGCCACCCAGGCGCCCCTTAGTAATTAGTTGTTGTTGTTGTTGTTTTTTAATGTTTATTTATTTTTGAGAGAGACAGAGACAAAATGCAAGTGGGTTGGGGCAGAGAGAGGGGGAGACACAGAATCTGAAGGAGGCTCCAGGCTCCGAGCTGTCAGCACAGAGCCTGATGCGGGGCTCGAACTCACAAGCTGTGAGATCATGACATGAGCTGAAGTCGGACGCTCAACCAACTGAGCTACCCAGGCGCCCCAGCAATTAGTTTTTTTTTAAGGTATTAATAAAAATGATGGGAAGAGTTTGCTCATGAAATATGACAATGAGGGAATAAATAGGACATACGTTATCTATTATCTGAAAGAGCTCCGTACATGTTGGATACATGTGTATGCGTGTATATACGTTACTTAAAGGAAACTTACATTTCTAAAATACATATACCATGGTAATTGTTGGAATATAGCTCATCTTACCCAGGTCTAAATGTTTATTCCTAAAGAAATGAGGCAAAGTAATTTATTTTAGTATGTTAGGTAAGAAGGAAAAAATGGTTAATATTTAGAGGTGGAATATGAAAATGAACTTCAAACACCATTATTAAAAGAAAGTTGTTATATGATAAAGGTGGAAGTAGTAGGATTGAGTGTTATGTATTTTGTTTTTTAACTTCTTACATGTTAGTGAGAGAATTAATTTTCAAGACTTTTTGTGTTTCCAAAGTAATAAATGGGTAGTATATATTCATTGGTTTTCCTTTGGCACTTGGACTGTGATTTTAGAGCATTACTTTTACTTAGTTTTAAGAATTACCTGTCTCGGGGCACCTGGGTGGCTCAGTCGGTTCAGCATCCAACTGGTTCAGGTCATGATCTCGTGGTTTGTGAGTTCGAGCCTCGTGTCGGGCTCTGCTGACAGCCTGGAGCCTGCTTCAGATTCTGTGTCTCCCTCTCTCTGACCCTCCCCCATTCATGCTGTCTTTCTGTCTCTCTTAGAAATAAATAATCATAAAAAAAAAAAGAATTACCTATCTCAATCGAATTTTTGGCATAAACAGAAAATTAATCTGATAGTACAATAGTAATCCGGAATTTCCTACTGTATTCTTAAATAGTTTTATTTAATTCTCACATTTTTCCTTTGTTTTTTTTTTAAGTGTATTCATTTTTATTTTGAGAGAGAGAGACAGCAGGGGAGGGGCAGAGCGAGAGGGAGAGAGAGAATCCCAAGCAAATTCCATGCTCTTAGCACAGAGCTCAGTGCAGGTCTCAAACCCATGAACTGTGAGATCATGACGTGAGCTGAAATCAAAAGCTGGAAGCTTAATGGACTGAGCCACCCAGGCACCCCTCAGATTTTGTCCTTTATGAGAGAATGCAAACTTTCCAAATCCACATCATTTTAAAGATGAAATGATAAAATAGCTGTTAATTTGTTTAGGGAAACAATTTGATTATATATTTTTTTTCTTTGCAATCTTTAAGAATCTAAATGTTAAGCTTTTGGTTTTTGACAAAGAATGTTTCCTCCACACTTGCTCCTAGCTCTTGTGTGATGTTTACAGTGGTGGAATGTTAATGGGGGAAAAAGAGGAGAGAGGCATCATTTTTTGGAAGAAGATATCACCACTAATAAGACAGAAGTATGACATTATAATTAAAGGTACAGGCCCTGGAATGGATGGCATGGTTTCAAATCCTAGTTCTTTCACTAATAAGCATGAATATGTGAGCAATTTGGAGTAATGAGCCTCAGTTTCTCTTCATTTGGTGAAGATAGTAATATGTAACTCATCAGGTTTTCCTGAGGAGGGAATGCACTAATTAATATATGTGACATATTTAGCATAATGCCTGGTATGTACTAAGTGCTCAATAAATGCCACTTTATATCTCTACACCCAATATAGGGCTCAAGAGCCCCATGACTCCTGATCAAGAGTCCCATGCTCTATCAGCTGACCCACCCGGGCACCCCAATAAATGCCAGTTTTAAGAAAATAATATTTTGGTGGAACAGGCAACTGCCTGAGGTATTATTGCGGAGCCTGGGTGACCGTAATGAAGGCTATAGAAGGATTGTCTCTATTACATGGGAAGTTAGAAAAGAGAAGTTTTGAGGTCCAAAAATGAACTTTAAACTAGCAGGTAATCTGCAGATACTCAAATAATCATATCCATAGTATTCTTCAGGGTGTTATATGGATTCCCAGGTTAGAGAAATGAGAGGATGGAGGATTGTTTCTCTTTGATTTTCTCTGATATTTTATTGATAAAAATACTCCTTTAATGTAGAGAATGAGTAGAACACAAACGCTCAGGCAGGGCCACTGCTGCAGTTGAATGCCCATGCGTGGTAGGTAGCCCTGCTCTCGGGAAATGGAAGGAATCGGTCAAGAACGGTTTGTGAATCACCATAGAGGGGGTGGTGGTAAAGGCTGAGTGCCACCTTGTAGACCTTTGTTCAGATGTCCACACCGTGTCCTGTAGGCAGTGCCTGAGTGAAGCAGGAGATGGAGAACAGCTACTCTTCAAGAGCTAGCTGGCAATACTGAAAAAAGCTCTTTTTCAGTCATCCCATTTTATCTTTTTTTTGTTGTTGTTAATGTTCACTTTTGAGAGACAGAGACAGAGTGAGGGGGGAAGGGCAGAGAGAGAGGGAGACACAGAATCCAAAGCAGGTTCCAGGCTCTTGAGCTGTAAGCACCGAGCCCGATGTGGGGCTCAAATTCATGAACTGCGAGATCATGACCTGAGCTGAAGTTGGACGTCTAACCGACTGAGCCACCTAAGCGCCCCATCCCATTTTATCTTCTGCATGGACTGTGACTTCTTCTGTTTTGCTCACAGTATATCCCAACACCTACTTAAAGATTTGGCTAACAGTTCTTAATATTTCTGTTACATGAATGAATGAGATAGAATTCTTCTTTCTTGTATGGAAAATACATCTCCTCTCCCTGTCCTCCTTTACTTTTTCAAGATTGCTATGGTGGTTTATTATAATGTAATTTAATAAGGATGAGGAAATATATGCCAAGAGAAGGCCGTGGAACCTATAGAATTAGGAGAGAAAACTGTTAAGTATTGTTTTGCTAACCTCTTTTTGCTGAGGACTTATTGTTTAAAACTTTGACTATAGCCTTTAGTAACTAAATTGGTTTTGGTATTAAATGTTTTATTATAGGAGCTGAGATTTCTAAAGCAATGCATAGAATAAAATAAATGGATTTAAATTCCTCACACTGTAGACCAGAGAGATGGATCTTTTTTTTTCTTTTGAGAGAGAGAGAGGAAGAGAGAGACTGATGTGCATGGGGGGAGGGGGAAAGGGAGAAAGAGAATCCCTAGCGGAGAGTCCTTTGTGGGGGCTTGATCCCACAACCGTGAATTTTATTGATCTCATGGATTCCCACAACAAATGTGGTTAGAGAATCTTTAAAGCCTCTCATAATTGAACATAATTGTAAATATTTCCCCAGGTAAAATATAGCCATTTCAAAGTTTTTTCAGAATAACTGAAAAAAGAAGTAATAAATTAACAACCATTACATCCAGACCAAGTGTGATTAGGGGCTTTTCTTTCCAGGTTGTGGCCCAGTAGAGTTAAAATACCTTCAGTCCATTCTAGCACTTGCATTGTGTAGTTGGTCTGGTCAGTCATCTCCCATCCTAGCTGCAGCTGAAAAGTACATTGGATTGTGAAAACTCATTCTGATGATGCAGTTGAAAGGCTGCTCATTCCTTGGAGGGTACATGCTGTGGGTAGAAGGGGTGCAGAGCAGTGCTCAGTCCACAAAGGGGGCACCACTGCACCAGGTGTGAGCACCCACTTCTGTCTTAGGTGCTGTGTCCTGCACTTCACCCACAGAAGCTCTAGAAGCTTTACCAAAGACGCTCTCATTTGGAGTCTTCTGAACTCATGATTCCAATGGGTTCAAAGTGAAATCAAAATTTTCCCTTTCATAGTCTTAAAGATGAAGAGTTATATTGATTTGTTAACCTTGATGGCCTCTGTTTCTCTGAAATACAGAAGGTATTTGGGAATTAGCCATGACATGAAGGTATTTTTTACCTTGCATATATCTTGACCTAAAATTTAACATAAGTTTCTTGGTAGTTTATTTTGTAAAAATACTTATGGCCCATTTTATTTGGCCTTATGCCCACATAAGAGGTTTAAATTATTTTTGGCCATTACTCTAATGGCCTATAACTGGTCAGGGTATGTTTCAGCTTTGATAGAGTTTTTCTTTAGTTCTCCAGGGGACTGAATTAGACTTTGCCTTTAATATTGCAGCACCCACAGATCCAGAAGAAATCTCAGTATATCAAGTACCTTTGTTGTGATGATGTGAGGACCCTGCACCAGTGGGTTAATGGTATTCGCATTGCAAAGGTAGGGTGTTTTTGTTTCTGTTTTGTTTTGTTTTTGGTTTGATGATAGAATATGATGAGGTGTTTCATGTGGTTTTGATTGTCATGACAATTCTAATCGTTTCATGTTTATGATTTTGTCAGTGTTTTCTGAGTTTTATGTTTGAAATGTCTTCTTTCCTTGGTGAGGAGATAGACATTTAACAGTTGGTATCCATGAAATCATACTGCTGGTAAAAGTGTAGCATCAGAGTGATTTATTTTGGCTCTGGAGAACACATTACATGATTCTTCTGTAGCAGAGTTTAGCCTAAGTCAAAGAAAGTTTTTGAGAATTAAATTGCTTCAAGGTGGGAGTAGGGGGATGAATAAGCAAGACACCAGATTTTTAGGTCAGTGAAAATATTCATACTCTGTAATACTGGAATGGTGAATACATGTCTTTATACATTTCTTCAAACCCCATAGCATGTACAACACCAAGAGTGAACCTAAGGTAAACTATGGACTTTGATTATAAGGTGTTAATGTAGATTCATTGATGGAAACAAATGCACCCTCTGGTGGAGAATGTTGATAAAAGAGAGATGGTGCATGGGTAGTAGCAGGGGCATATGTGAAGTTTCTGTACCTTCCTCTCAATTTTGTTGTGAATCTAAAACTCTTTAAAAAAAGGAAGTTCTTGAAAAAAATTTTAAGGACATTTTGAAGAAGATTATACATAATACATGAAGGAATATTTTTGCCCATTAAGTAAAATAAAATTTATTATAGCTATAAAATCAGAGTTGCCTTAGGAATAACAAAAAAAATCTTTATATTGATAAGGAATATGAATGAAGTGTTAATTTATTGGTATCTTTATTAAAATGAAAAATAAGAGTAGATTATAATTTACTGGTAATAAAATAACTTTTGAAGTATTTATAGGTATTAATTTTAATGCAAACTATGAATCAGTAAACAGAAATGCATCCCCCTGTCTTACCTCACCCACCTGTATCATACCCAGTAAAGTTCACGTCACCATTTACTGCCTTCTGTTTAGTATGGGAAGCAGCTCTACATGAACTATCAAGAAGCCTTGAAGAGGACAGAGTCGGCTTATGATTGGACTTCCTTATCCAGCTCCAGCATTAAATCAGGATCCAGTTCTTCGAGCATCCCAGGTAGTTTGAAACACTGAAAGCACTATTTACTGCCAATATGAAGATATCTCTATGAACTGATGGCAGACCTGGTTATTTCAGCATGGTTGTTAAAAGCAGAGCTATACCTAATGTCTAAATTATAAAATAAATTTTTTGGTGATTAGAGGGGACAGTATCATGGGCTAGATCACAAATGTATTTGAAATGGAACAGCAGTATAGAGTTGTAAATTCAGGAGTGTTGTTATATATTTGTAAAGTTTATTTAAAACTCCGTCATAGTAGGGCACCTGGGTGGCTCCATGAGTTAAGTGACTCATAGATCTCAGCTCAAGCCATGACTTCATGGTTTCGTAGTTAAAGCCCCACATCGGGCTCTGTGCTGACAGTGTGGAGCCTGTTTGGGATTCTCTCTCTTCCTCTTTCTGCCCCACCCCCTACGCTCAAGTAAATAAATGGGAAAAAAAAAAAATCATACTGCCAAAAAACAACTGTTGATTCATACTCAGGGGTAGAAAAGTTCCTTGGAGAAAGTCTCCATACTGAGAATCCATGATGAAATTGCCCTCCTTCCCCAGAGGGTTCCTGACATTTCAACAGAGTGGAAATAACTAGAATTAGTTCAGTATCACAGTTAAGGAGGCTGTTTAAGTCATCAAACTTAACTAAAGTTTTCACAGAAAATCAATGATACTCAAAAGGTACTTATTTTCAGATCCCACATCCTTAAAGTATGTGGTGATCACACCTAAAAATGCTTCTTTCCCTTCAAAATATTTCATGAATATGAGTAACTATGTCCTCTAAAAGCAGAATGTTTTTATTTGTTCTTACATATTATGAAAGAAATAATGACTTTAAGAGGTATTTGAAAAAAAAAAAAACCTCTCATCATTTATTAGTACAACATATGAATTAATCTTTTACTGTGTTTTTACCAGGCTATGTGTATATGCTTTAAGAAAATTCTACTTTTCAGAATCTATTTTACTTTAGGATAAAATAAAAACATGGACTTTTATTTTATGTACTTAAAATAAAATTTTAAGTTTATTTATTTTGAGAGAAACAGACACAGTGCAAGTAGGAGGGAGGGAGAGGGAGACAAAGAATCCCAAGCAGGCTCCATGCTGCCAAGTGCAGAGCCTTTCGTGGGAGTAAACTCACGAAACTGGGAGATAGTGACCTGAGCCGAAACCAAGTGTCAGACGCTTAACCCACCTACTTGCCCCAAAATACAGGCTTTTTAAAAAGAAGTATTTGACTAAAAAGTTGTATGACTTTATTTCATCTCTACGAAACAAAATGAGAATGTGTATACACATTGGTTAGTATACATACATATATTTCCTAGTACTGTCCACAGAGAGGGCTAGGAGTGGTGACACCCCAGTGGCAGTGAAAATGCAGAGAGCCTAGATCTTGGTTTTCTAATTCCATTTTCCAGAACAAAAGAACTAGGGCTCTTTGGCAGATGGCTGATTCTAGGGCTGTGGCAGAGAATAAGAGGAGCCTGGAGCAGCTTGTAATGAAGGAAGTGCTCAAAAAACACAGTGATTAGTCTGTGCAAAGGGACACAGGAGCCACCTGAGAGAGTGTCCAGGGACCAAAGCTGTAACAGTTGGAACAACAAAATAACTAAGATCATAACCCAAATTATAAAATAAACAGCCATCAGTCCATATGGATATAAATTCTTGAATAAATAAATGGGGAAGAGACAGATCTTCTGGATGGAAGAGTTCTAAGTGGTTTGTGCAGACACTCTTCCCTCAAGGAGATGGAGCTTAATTCCCCCCTTAAGTGTGGGTTGGCAGAGTGACTTGCTTGCCAAGAGGATGGTTAGGTGTGGGGGAAGGGGAGTAACTGTACAGTGCAGAAACATGACAAAAATTAGCTCAGCCAAGTTGTCAAGGTCAGTGTCTTCAGTAATATGTCCTGTTGATAGCATGTACCCTTTACATAATGTGATGAAATTGGCACTTTGCCTCTCTTGGTCTTCTTCCCCAAATTTCATAACTCAATCTAATCAAGAGAAAAACATCAGACAAAATAATAATTGAGAGACATTCTCTAAAATACATGACCTGTTACTCCTCAAAACTGTCAAAGTCATCAAAAACAAAGGAAGTCTCAGAAACTGTCATAGGAGACATGACAACTAACTATAAGTGAAGTCCAAAAAAAGCTTGTGGAGTTTAGTTAACAGTGACGTATCCTTGTTGGTTCCTTTATTGTGGCAAATGTACCAGGGTAATGTAGCAACTTAATAATGAGGTAAATTGGGTGCTAGGTGTGCAGGAACTCTGTTAGCTTTGCAACTCTTCTATAAATCTAAAACTCTTGTAAAAATGTTTATTAAAAAGGGAAGACACTTTTGAGACAATGGATTGAGAAAGACAAGGTAAGAATATGTCACAAGTAAGATTTTAGAAAAAGAAATTCAGGGAAAGATTGAGAAAACAGACGCCATAATATATATTTTTTAAATTTATATAGCATTAATGCAGGTTCTTCCACACATTTTATGACATGGTGTGGTGCCTTCTCCTAGTCCAGCATCATCCCTTCTTATACAGTGTGTTAAGTATTATGCAGCCTTGTAAATATAAATTGCAAAATCATGTGCATTCATGCTGAAGAGAGCTCAAGGATTCACATATTCCAGCCTCTTATCTTACAGGCTGTTGTCCTGAATAGCAGTTAAATAGGGACATACGCTAATGAAGTTGCAACTTTTTAAAAAACATTCAGCAATTACACAAGAAACAAGTGTTGGTGAAGTTATGGAGGAAAAAGGAACACTTGTGCATTGTTGGTGGGAATGCAAATTGGTGCATCCACTGTGGAAAACAGTATGGAAGTTCCTCAAAAAATTAAAAATAGAACCAGGAATCACACTACTGGATATTTACCCAAAGAATACAAAAACACTAGTTCAAAAGGATATATGCACCCCTATATTTATGGCAGCATTATTTACAATAACCAAACGGTGGAAGCAGCCCAAAAGTCCATTGATAGATGAATGGATAAAGAAGATGTGGTATACACAAGCACACACACGCACACATAATGGAATATTATTTGGTCATAAAAAATGAAATCTTGCCATTTGGAAGAACAAGGATGCAGCATGAGAACATTAGGCTAAGCGAAATAAGCCAGAGAAAGACAAATACCATATGATTTCACTTATGTGGAATTTAAGAGACAAAACAAACGAACAGGAAAAAAGAGACTCAAACTAAGAAACAGACTCTTAACTATAGAGAACAAACCTACTGGTTACCAGAGAGGAGGGGTGGGGGAGCGGGGGATGGGTGAGATAGGTGATGGGGATTACAGAGTACACTTACCATGATGAGCACTCAGTAATGGGTAGAATTGTTGAATCACTATACTGGACACCTAAAACTAACACTGTATGTTAATATACTGGAATTAAAATTAAAAGCTTAAAAAACACTCAGCAATTAGATGGTGGAGAAAGAAGAAAACAGAGTAGGTTTTATCTCATAGCTTATATTTTTGCCTTGAGGATATGTCCTGACTTTATCCATAGGAGTTTGTGGCTGTTATCTGTGTACTTCTTTGGCTACCTTGGCTGGACTTGATTAATAAAGCAATCTGATAATAACCCCCCCTTCACCAAGTATTGGATGGGACTGCTTTAACACCTGAATCTCCATCATTGAGCTAGGTGCTTCCTTCTGCATGGTTATCTTGCCTGACTTGGGGTCCAGTGACTTAATCTCCCCAGTTCCCTGGATGTCAGATTGCAGTGTACCCTCCACCATACCCAGCTCCCTCGAAGAGGTGTTCTTGCCTTACCAGGAGGCCAGGCTGCAGTGTGGCTAGCTGCCTTGTGGTGCCAATACCTGAATCCCTAGAAAACACTTCTCACACAGGTGTAGTTCCTAAGTACTAGTCACTGCAGGCAAAAAAGGAAGTAGACTTCATGTATGATCTGAAGTTGTAAGTGAGAACTCTCTAGGATGGTCTGAAGCAGGGGTGTATACAAAGATTGAGTCTTGGTGTAATGAAGATGTGATTGGAGAAAAAAAATTCAACTCCTCTATTGGTAGTTTACTGATTCTCTTAATTGCTAGGAGTTCTTACAAGAAGTTTTCAGGATACCAGTAATGTTACACGAACCTTTCATTGTAACGGTCAGCCTGTCATGGTGAACTATTTAAAAAGAATCAAGATTTCCTACTAGCCCTAAGATAAAAATTTTCTAGTGGAAGGTCCAGACAGTGTTTATATGAAATGAGTTTGAGTAAAAGTAACTTGTTGCACTGTGGCATAGCATCTTGTCTTGTGTAAAAGAGCTAAGTGTGCACATTCACATTGTCACAACAATGACTTATTTGATCCTATTTTTGAAAATCTCTTTTAAAGAGTCTCAGTCAAACCATTCGAACCAGTCTGACAGTGGAGTGTCTGACACTCAGCCAGCAGGACATGTCCGCTCCCAGAGCATTGTGAGCTCCATCTTCTCTGAAGCCTGGAAACGCGGCACTCAGTTAGAAGAGTCCAGCAAGGTAGGTAACACACTTGTGTTCACTGATAGGAAGAAATCTGTTTGACGTTTCATGGGTTTAGTTTGTTGCTCTTTTATTCCTTGGTTAGGACTCTCTGGGCCCTATTTCAGTATTCTTACTTTGACTTCTCCTCAAAAATGAGTATCTGTCACCTGACTCTAATGCCCTAAGATCTCAAACTAGCAGTTTAACGACTTTATCAGTGGCTCACATTTTTAAGAAATAACAATTTCTTCTTTTTCACCCTTAATCAGTTTGGATGGAGTAACGCCATTTAGTGCCAGTGCCCTAATTTTGTTCCAGAGAAGCTGCTTATGGTGCATTATTTGTTATTAATTTAATTTATTTAGACTCACTCCTTTGTCGTCTTTTCCTTTACGCTTTTTTGGCATTTCTCTGCACATTGATGAATTCTCTCAAATTTTAGTATATGTGGAAGACTAAATTTAGATGAATCCCCTTAAAATTTTGGATCCCTGAGCTTTGTATGGTAGTTTTTTCAGTGACACTGAAGGACGAGTATGATTATTGCAAGACTATTCAGAAGTACAGAGGTTCTTTAGCCCAGGTAGAAGACATCATATCACACTACCTGTGAAGTTCTGTGGGCAGTGTTGCGTCCCAGCTGTCCTTGCCCTCTGAGCAGGCAGGAGCCCACACCATCACCAAAGGACCAGTGGCACAGCTGGCCTGACTGTTGTGTTTTTACCCAATAATCATTGTGATTTTTCTTGTTGTTGTTGTTGTTTTGGTCTGAATCACTTTACACAAGTGTATTCACCAGTGTGAATTAAACAGATATTTTCCCTTAATTTATCCAGTTATTTATTTATGTGGTTGATAAACTGGCCCTCAGGAAGAGGCATTAGTAGGCTCTTATAGTAGGCTCTTAGAGGCATTAGTGGTAGTGTGGGGATGGAACACTTTGTCTTAGAAATAAATATTTGAGAATTGGTTCTAATGACCTAAATTCTCAAAACACTGCCAGTTTGTTTAACTCCCATATCAGGGGTTCATACTTTTAAGAAATTATGGTATACCTTTCCCCACTTAATCAATCTGGGTGGAACAGCCCTATCTGGTACTAATAATTTTATATATGTAGAAAAGCAGATTTATACAATTCAGGTATCTAAAGAAAAGTCTTCTCCCTTACTAAATTTTTAATGGTGTTCTCCATGTGCATTTGAAATGAAAGTCCAAGGAAAACAAAGGTCCAAATGCTGTGTGATGAAGCAGCATAGTTCGCCTTAGTAGTTTCAGGAGCGTGCACCCTGCTGTGTAGGGGTGCTAGTCTGTTTGTCTTGACCCCCCACCCCTGTGTTTCTTCTGTTACCTCAGCCTCAGGTGCCAATTGAGAAGGCCAGCACAGCTAAGGTCTGCACCCCTGCAGCAGCCAAGACAGGGTCAAGTTAAGGTCAGGGACTGTTCTTTGGAAACACATTAACCTGGGTGACTCCTGTAACCAAATCTCCCAGACTAATGCTTTTATTTTGTGCAGTTTTTAAAGAAACATGTGAGTGTCCTAATGGGCATTAGAATTCAGCCTTCTAGTCTACTAACCTAAGCATTTTTGACACTAATTAGATGTCATTCATAATTTGGAAACAATGATTTATATTGGATCTTCACAGTTTGTTCAAAGAACCTAAAAGATGTACCCAAACTTAATAAACCAAGGGTCCTTCTTTTGCTCTTTTCAAAAGTACTTGAACCACATTCTTGTGTGAGTTGGCTCCGTGAAATGGATGACCAAATGTGGTAATTCAGGCAATGCCAGAGATGCCCAGATGGGCTGGTCAGCAGGTTGTTGGCAAACTCTCATTCCCATTTCTTGATATATCTTCTTTACTCTAGTTTTCAAAGGTTTCCTCTCATTTTCTCCTGGCTTTTTCTGTGATGGTATTTTAATGATCTTTTGCTGTAATGTTTATGAAGCATTTCTTTATGTATTTTCCAGTAACACAAATGTAAAGAATGCCCCCCCCTTTACCTGCATTGCTGGACTTCTGTGCATGTTGGATGCAAATGTCTCACACGAACACGAGTGTGTGTGTCAAGCTCATTCATTCCTGTGTGACTGTGCACGCCTGCTGAACATTCTCATATTCTCACGTGTCCGCTTGCTAGCATCAAAAAGCCATCCTCATTCCTCAGGAGGCCCTCCACCAGCACTCCTAAACCCAGTTATGGCATCTGCTTGATGTGGATGCATCCACAGACTGAAAGGTGAACTCGACCCATCACGTCTCCACTTGCCACAGTCCTGGTGGGGTCTGTGCTCGGAGGTCCACCCACGGGGGTGCCCATTCAGGGCAGGTGTGAGAAAGTCAGGGCTCAGAAATCAGGCCGCCCGTCACCCGTCAACAGCTTTTGCAGCAGGACCTTTTTCCTAGATTGTTAGGCAGTCTTGCCGTTGGAGAGTATTGCTGGGTGATCAAATGCTGTGCCTTGCTGCCCAGGGAGTCTGATTTTCGCCTTTGTGATGTCCCGCTGCTGAGTCCTTTCTTGCATGTCCCAGATTCCTTGCTGTTTAGTTTTACGCAAAGCTTACCTCTGTAACTGTTGTGTTTGTTGTGTTTTCTCTCTCCCATCCCACCACCCCTTTTATACTCCTTTTAGGCCAGAATGGAGTCTCTGAATCGACCCTACACTTCACTTATGCCCCCTTTATCCCCACAGCCCAAGCTGGTCACCCCCTACACCGCCTCACAGCCTTCCCCACCTCTGCCGCCCCCGCCCCCGCCCCCACCCCCACCACCGCCCCCTCCCCCCCCACCTCCCCCTCCCCTGCCCAGCCAGTCTGCACCTTCTGCAGGCTCAGCAGCCACGATGTTTGTCAAGTACAGCACAATAACCAGGCTGCAGAACGCTTCTCAGCACTCGGGAGCCCTATTCAAGCCTCCACCACCCTCAGTGATACAGTCTCTGGCTTCCACCCCACAGTCAGGAAAACCTCAGATCCTGGTGCCCCCCAATGGAGTGGTTCGGCGGCGGCCGGGGGGGGGGGGGGGCGCCACCCCGGGCTCAGCTATGGCCCAGCTAAAACCGGTGCCCTGCACCCCATGCCTCCCACAGTTCAGCCCTCCCCCTCCCCCTCCCCCGCTGAAGATTCATCACGTGCAGCATGCCACTCAAGTGGCTCCTCCCACACCACCACCTGCCCCTCCTGCCCCTGCACCCCTCCCTCCCCAGGCACCCCCCAAACCCCTTGTGACTGTGCCCCCACCGACCGGCACCAAGACCGTGCCACCTGTCATGACACAAGCTGTGCCACCTACACCTGCTCCTCCGGCTCCCCCCGCAAAAAAGCAGCCAGCTTTTCCTGTTTCCCACATTCCACCCTCTCCCCCTGCTCCTCCTGGCCCTACTCCACCACCCACGTTACCCAAGCAGCAGAGCTTCTGTGTAAAACCGCCTCCCTCCCCACTATCTCCGGTGCCCTCGGTGCCCTCGGTAGTGAAGCAGATAGCCAGCCAGTTTCCGCCCCCCCCAACCCCTCCTCACGTGGAGTCACAGCCCTTAAAGCCCCCCACAGCAAATGTGGCCCCTCAGTCCCCTCCTGCTGTAAAAGCAAAACCTAAGTGGCAGCCCAGCTCCATCCCTGTCCCTTCTCCGGATTTCCCTCCTCCTCCACCTGAGAGCAGCCTGGTGTTTCCTCCACCACCACCACCACCACCACCACCACCGCCACCGCCACCACCGCCACCGCTGGCCTCAGCCCCGCCACCACTGCCAGCCACACCCACAGCTTCTCCAGCCTCCGCCTCCGACAAAAGTGGATCTCCTGGCAAAAAGACCAGTAAGACGTCCAGCCCCGGGGCAAAGAAACCTCCCCCAACCCCACAGCGAAACTCCAGCATTAAGTCCAGCGGTTGCGCAGAGCACCCTGAGCCCAAAAGACCCTCCGTAGACAGTCTAGTGAGCAAGTTCGCATCGCCAGCAGAACCGTCAGGGTCTCCCAGCAAAGAGAGCCCCCCTCCGGCAGCACCCCCCAAACCTGGAAAACTGAATCTTTCTGGAGTTAACCTTCCCGGAGTTCTCCAACAAGGATGTGTATCAGCAAAAGCATCCGTTCTGAGTGGACGTGGAAAAGACTCCGTGGTAGAATTTCCTTCTCCTCCATCTGATTCTGACTTTCCACCTCCTCCACCTGAAATAGAGCTTCCTCTGCCCCCCATAGAGATTCCGGCAGTATTCTCGGGAAACACCTCTCCAAAAGTGGCAGTTGTCAATCCTCAACCCCAGCCATGGTCCAAAACATCCGTGAAGAAGGCCCCTCCCCCCACACGACCCAAACGGAATGACAGCACCCGCCTCACTCAAGCAGAGATCTCTGAGCAGCCAACAATGGCCACAGTTGTGCCACAAGTGCCCACCTCTCCCAAATCCAGCCTTAGTGTCCAGCCTGGATTCCTAGCTGACCTCAACAGGACACTGCAACGGAAGTCCATCACCCGGCATGGCTCACTCTCCTCCTCCCGCATGTCCAGAGCAGAACCCACAGCCACCATGGATGATATGGCATTGCCCCCGCCCCCCCCTGAACTGCTTTCTGATCAACAGAAAGCTGGTTACGGGGGGGGTCATATATCGGGCTATGCAACGTTGCGGAGAGGACCCCCTCCCGCTCCCCCCAAGAGAGACCAGAATACCAAGCTCTCGAGAGACTGGTAGTAGCTACCATAGGACTTTGTTTTCATGGTGTCTGTAATCAGTTCTACAATCAGCTCACCTGATCACCTATGAATTCTGGTGTTCAGAGCCTCCTAGTATGATGTTGTTATTCAGGTAGTATCCAGCTCTATGTGTGTGTACATTTGCGTGGACACACATAGCTATACACATATAGTGTGTGTATGTATATGTATATATATGTATACATATATGTATGTGTATATGTATATATATAGCTGAGAGTGAATCTATTTATTCCTTTTCTCTCCTAATCTGAAAATGGGTTTGTGTATCTTGGGTGGAAGAGGCCTGGAAGGGGATTGTGTCCTGTCCCTTATGATTTCTATTATCTATCATGTGGATTGGACCAAAAACTTATAATGACTTATTTAGAAGGCATTTTATAAGTGTCCATGCACAGCCTGTCTGTGCACGTTGTGTATTATATCTTAAGGAATAGATGTATTATGTGCTGGTGTCTCAATTTGAGAAGACAACAGAATGTTTGGTGTACCAATGGGGCTTTTGTGTTTGTTTTTTCCCCATTTGGCTGAAGTTCGAACTGCTTGACTGACACTTCATGACTGTACATGAAGGGGCACTTTAAATCAGGAAACTCTGTCAGCATCACGGATGGAGAAATAGTGCAGTATGGGGAAGTTTTCACAGACACCATATCTGTTCGTGCTCGTGCATAGGCAGTAAATATATGATGTAACCAAACCATTCTAGTTGCAGTATTGCTGCCATGATCCCACCCGTATCTAGGATGTGTTCTGTCACAGGTAAGCTCTTCACCTACAATACATGGATAATTTAGTACTATAATCCCGAGTAGTTCTTTTTGTACCGTTGGAATCTTTTTCATAAGCTTTGCGAAGCCTCATCAAGCTTGGCTTCATGATCCTTGCTTTGATTTGTTGTGAGAGAATGTCTGACACAGTACCCCTGGAATGCTCCGTCCCACCAGTTGTAGTGTGTGCTTTAGGTAGACGTTGATAGTAGGTATCTGTAGACAATTGCTATATCAAGTATACACATCCCATGTCCGAAATAGTGCATCATTACAAAAAACAAAGTTACCTTCTGAAATGCGTATTTTTTGTGTGTTGCTCTAGGATGGGTGATTAGGAAAGAACAAAACTGGCCCCTGTGCAGGTATCATTAATCAGGTTGTACTTCGTTTAAGCATGGGACTGTCCTACAGGGAGGGAAAAATATAAATGAGCTTTTTGACAATTTCATCCTCAGCTACTGGAGTGCACTAGGATTCTTGCTTGCCATAGCTTGGTTGTGGAGATTTGTCCAGGTTAACCAGGTGTTCTGATGGAGTAGTGTAGTCCAAAGTGACAATACATGATATGCATGTGCAATTTGGTATAACACAGAATTATCACTCTCATCACACCCTGCAATCCTGTATGCTTCACATTATACTTAGGCAAAAATTTTTTTTTTGTCCTGTGTGAACTATGTACTGTCTCATCAGTTTATGATGATAAAGTGACCATTACAAATAAAATGCAACCTCAGAGCTGCTCTTACACAATAAAAACTAGCCATCCCAGCAGTGATAAATGAGCACATCTTGTAAATGAAAGTCTCTACCTGTTGTGAATATGGATTACCAGTGCAAAATAAGGATTGTCCCATAAGGAAAAAGTGATGCCATAGCAGTGGGGCAGAGATAGTAAATAACTCAAAAATAAGCAAAAGTTGTACTGTATACACAAGATATTCCTATAAAGCCACCTCCAGAAAAGTATGGCACCATAGAGGATGTGAAGTGGCACCTCACCATTGCCACGGCCCCAGGGTATCGGTCTGCATATTCATGTGCTTACAGAGCAATGTGTACCTTTGTGCATTTTTTAAAGCCCTGCTTCTTTAAAAGGTACTTTGGACTTTTTCATTTGTTCTCAAAGTTCTGTGTGCTTGATATCCTTAGGCTTTTAAAGCGACCTTTAACACATCTGCGTTAATTAATTTAACATGCACAGCAGTTTGGGTAATGGTTGAATACAGATTGCCACGCTCCACTGTAACTCACGAGAGAAGGAATTTCCCATTGTGTTCTGCCTGCAGCTTTATATTCTAAGGATCACCCTTATTTGTGGGGTAAAGTTATTAATATGAATCCAGTGGCATATTCATCACTAGGGTTTTTGTTGTGATGGTGGCCTTTATATATATGTATACGTATACGTATATGTGTATATAGGTGGACTTCAGCTTTGCTTGGGGGGGAGGGGGACAATAATGTGCCCTCAGTCTTCCTTCACCCATGATTTGAGCCCTAAGGTACAGCTGCTGTTTAGTCATTGTAGGATTCCTTAGGCCTTCTTGCCTGATAGTCATCTTGAACTGAAGCTTCCAGCATATCACTTTCCTGAAAGAGCAGCCATCCTTTAGAATGCTCATGGCACGGAGAAGAGAGCAGGGCCAGAGGAAGAACTCTGTGATTCTTACCCCAATCCAATGGCTAGTCTACAATAGGCTGTTTTCTTTTACCTATCTCCAAAGACAGAGAAGGCTATTAATCAACTTTCCCATTTGTTTTTTGTGAAACGCTGAATAAAAAAAAAAAAAAAAAAAAAAAAAATTTTATTTTATACTTCTAATGTTTTACTCCCTAGTGGAGTGTTTTTAAATTTGGATTTTTGTTGGGATGTAGTTCTGTGGGCTTTTTTGTTTTGGTTTGGTTTTTTGACACTACTCTGTTCTTGTAACTTTTCTCTGGTGTGTTCGTGGAGAACACCTGCTGCCAAAGGACACTAATACTGTGCCTTCTTCCACTGCCTTCTGCTCAGCAGCTCTTCCAACCCCACATAGCTGCATCTGGTCAGAGAAGAAAATCTGGACAGCTGAGACTTGGCTGTGCTGAAAAATGAACAGCATGGATGAGCTCATCGTGCTGCTGAGGGCAGTGCAAACAGGTGCCTATTTCAGCCAGTGACTCAGTTAATTAGTGATCCCCTTAACTTCTACCACAGATAATTTCAGAATTAGACCACCCTGGGCTTAAAGTTTTGGCACCAACTTGGAAAGGCAGCAGAGCCTATTCTGTTGATAAAACAACTTACACTAGGTTCTAGGTAATAATACAAATGCTAGACTATTCTGTATTGCAGTTTTATTCAGCTGGGCTTTTACTACTCAAATACATTATTTCTTCAGCTGCTGTAATTTTTTCTTAAGTATTCTTAAGGTTTTCATAGGTACTCATTTAACTGTAAATTTGTTTTTAATTTTGGGGACTTTTTAAGATGAGAAAGATGACGTTTCAAAATTACAAGAAAATGATTTTCATGAGAAAATTTCAAAGTAATGTAGATGTGATGGTGTTTTACAGTCCTCTAAAATCAAGGTGCTCCCGCCCACCAATGGCATACTCTGCTAAGGGCTGTGAACTTTCCTGGAAGTCCTCTGTGTAAGTTTACTTGCCACTAAAAACAATGCCGAGTTTATCAACAAAGTTTAAACAAAATTGAGAGATCGTGAATAAGTAATTCCAGTGGAGTGACAACTCTGAGATCAAGATTTAATAGGAGCTGTGCATCCAGTTAGAGTTTGAGAAGCTGCTGTTGTGGGGGAATACAGCTGCTTATCACCTTGTGTCAGGGAGGTAAGGTTATAAAATAGCCTGGAAAAAAAGTGTCAGGTAATGGTATGGATTGGTTTTATTTGACTATCAAGCCACCAACAGAACCCTTTGTTACCTTTTTTCCCTAGTTTTATGTTAACAAGCTTTTTCATATACCTTCAGAGCTAATAAATTATAACTGATAGAATGTCTCACATTTTATTCAAGTTTAGACCAATTAAACCTCTATGGCCCTGTATGATTACAGGGGTAATTACTTGCTTTAAGTAAAGTAGGTATAATAATTTGGACTTACACACTTGATGAGAGGATGTCTAGTCCTAAAACTCCCTTTCAGGTTGCAAGTATCTTTTGGCACTTCGAGTCTTGTTTTATTGACATCACTTATTTATATAAAGTGGGTTATCCCGAACCCTGTAGGAATATGTGATCACTCACAAGTTGAGATTTGATGTACAGAGAAATGCAATACAATATCCCACAATTTTTTAAGATTTATTTTCCTTTAAACATTCAGTAGAAGAACATCTCTATACCTTTACCAGGCTGTCTCTCCAACTAAACAAGTGCTCTGTTCTTACTGTGCCCTCAGAAGGTCTGTATGTAAAAGAAACCTGAAATATAGCTGTAGAGTAAATTTGCTAAATAAAAAGAATATACTTGAGAAACACATAAGGGAAAACATCTCCAATTCATTTGCTCTTTGTTTGTTGAAGAGAAGACACTATCTGCTATAATCCCCAGTGCCTTGAACTCTTTTGGAGGAATAGCATTTAAAAAAAAAAAAATCCAACAAGCAAACTTTGAGGTGCTAATGAAAGAGAAGGAAGATGAGTATTTGTAGTTTGTGCAGAAATAGAAAAAATGTCTGTCTCATAAGAGATGGCTTCATCTAGCTGAAGAGTGGCCACTTTCTACCAAAGACATTTAGAGAAGTAAGTCGAGTCAGGGTGATGGCAAGTACTGCGTATTAAAAGGTAGCTAAGTTCAGAAGTGACCACATTGATCACGGATGGCTATTAATACCAAGCTCATCATTGTTGAAGCCTCAACCTCTTCTTAGGCAGAACATGCAGCACTTAAAGTCTTTGCATTTTGGGAACTGTCCATTGTTTGTTAGATTTATTGTAACGTAATACCAAAAACTGCCACTTTTCATGATTCCTACTTCCTATATATTTTTTCTCTACTTGTAAATAATCCCTCCTCGAAAATAAGCATTAACTGGAATGTTTCAAATGATTTTGCTTAATTTTATCATTAGCCACTAGTGAACTCCTTTTATAGAAATGTACAATTACGGTATCATTAGCTTGTGCTAAATATTGTAAAAATCATTGTTTACTGTTTCAAAGGAAAATTGCACATTATATTTAACTGGGATTGCTCGTTTTCCCATTTCTTTAAAAAATGGAGTCAAGGCTTACACTGACATCCAGGCTGTGGGAGCTTTGTTATAAATAAATAGATACAGTGTAGGAATATAGTTTTTTAAAGCATGAAAAAGGCGGCAAAAAGAACTGCATTATAAAGTACCTGATAAGAGGACATTATTCAAACCATTATGATTATGCACAGCTCGGTAAAGGTGAAGTTACAATTTTTCTTTCAGCTTTGTTGCTATTTTCTTCTGCTTAAATGTACGCTCTCATTTCATTATGTGCCTTGCTCCCTGATTGTGCAAACCTATATATAGATATATATAGAGATATATATATATATATATGAGAGAGATATATTCAGTACTACTGACGATGTTTTTTTTGTTCTGCTGGATTAAGTTATTTTCCAAATTACTCCTACCAGTTACTGTCGGTGAAATATTGTAATGGCTTAGGACAGTAGTCATACAGTCAGTGTAAATTTGTTTTCAGTTATGTGTTTTCATTATGTCAGCTTACCCAATTCTTAATAAAAAGAATACATAGATTTCATTTAAACATGGGGACTTGACTGTTTGTGGATTGACATCATTAAGAACTTGGTTTCGCTGTTCATGTTGGTGGTACCCATAAATAGGCTGTGCGGTAAGAACAAATTAAATACATTCAACTTGTTAACCTTTAGTTTTTACTGACAGATGAGAAAGCTTTGGCTACTGAATACATTAGCAATTAAGTAGTGATAATAAATTTTAAGATTTTTCTTCTTAAAGTACAACCTTTTTTATTTTAAAGCTTTGCTATCACCATTATGTGTTGGCCTGCCATGTCGCCATGTCAAGGTATGTACACTGTGTGTTTGCCAAACCAAGGCAAAAAAAACAACTCCTCTTTTTATATTAATAGAATTGTATTTGGGGGCAAGTGATCAGAAAACAGTTTAGAGCAACACGGAAGGATACACTTCAGCTTACTCACCTTAGTACTTAACCTCTTTGGTTACTTGCATAAATACATTCACAAGACATTTGGACTTACTTTGTAGAATTTTATTTAGGTCAAGTTCTTAGTACACAGCAACAATTTCAAATACAATTTTTGAAATTAAGAAGTCAATGTTCCCCCACTCATCTGGAGGTGGCTTAATGGCACACACAAAAAACATTACTGGCAACAGACTGCTCCCTCAAGTTTTCCTGCATGATTTCTACTCAACTCAGAACACCAACCCTCTCTGCAGGAGCTTAAAAATACAACTGGCCAGATCACAAGTGTTTACGTTCTTTTTTGTAAACCATTTTAAGAAGAAAGATGCATGGACACAAAGTATGAAAAACTGCTTTTCCATAGAATTCTGAAGTTGCAAAAGACATTACCATTTTAATGTGAAAATAAGCTTTTTGTGTTTTTTACAAAAAAACCTCAAGATATTTAGCAAGGATCATTTATACATAGCTAGGCCCTATTGTCAATTTTAAGAATTATGAAATTCTTAAGAAATAGGAACAAAGATCAGCATAAAGTAAACTTCAGGTTATGAGCACAATGCCTCCATTTAAGAACTGTCTTATAAGGCTCTCTCAATAAGGCTTTTTGCTGTGCTCCTGCCAGTGTTGAAATAATAGAACCTATTTTTGCTACATAGTACTGAGTGTAGTAGAGGGTTAAAATGATTATTTTCACTAATTAAGGTTGCACTTAGTACACTCCTTTAAACAATTTGAATACTGATGGTATTTATCGAAACAGCATATCTTTTCAAGTATCTTCCTGAAGACATCAAGTAGAACTCAGTTTTTAAAGAAACATAGCACATTCAATTAAGACAGTTGTGGAAAGTACCAGGCGTTGAGTCAGGAACTCTGCCACTGTTAACTAGCTGTTATCTGAAACGAAACGTCTAACCTCCTCAGTTAAAATGGAAAATGAACTAAAATTTTTTATCCTCTAGCTCTAAAATTCTATGATCCTAAGTAAATCATGTGAGGGAAATCATCACCTTCACACCAGTCAGGAGTTCCTGGCCAAAGACGTTCAGAAGTGAACACATGGGAAGTGATTCAGATCCCTTCTTTTTGAAGACTTGGCAGTCACCTGCCAATTCCTCCATCAAACCCTTTTCAGAGGGCAAGGTGGCCTTCAGAATATGTCATGCTCTCTCCACCAAGGAGAAAAGGTAATAAAAATAAAGGAACAGTTCTTAATGCAGAAAGGTACCTGCTAAAAGAAAATGAACACAAAAGGATAAAAGCAAACTACCATCATTTTGATGCCTCTCCAGCAGAAAAATCTTTTAAGTAATCATCAGTAATCAACATAAGACAGCTAAGGAGCACACCTGCATCACAGACATCACTGTAAAGATGCACAAAACCTTCTCTCTAGCTGGGTAATAAACAGCAGCAGGAGGGGGAAAGAAAGGGAGGGATAAGAATGTCCCACCTAGTGACTTTTAGGAATACAGCAAAAGTAGCAGGCCCTTGCCAACCCTAAGATGGGAACAGCAGGTGCCCCTGAGGGAGATAGAAGGCAACTAGCCAAAAGAATGGAAAATATTGATCAAGACATCTCAAAAGACTCCTATTTACTCCCAATACAGGCTGAATCTCTCGGGGCTAGATTTTGGTTTTTAAATTTATTGCCCTGGTCATAAGGTCAACAAGAAAGTGTATTTTCATTAATTTCCCCATGGCCTTTTAAATAGTAGTACCAAAAGCAACGGGCGGGGGGTGCGGTGCTTAAGTCACTTTTTTTTTTTAAATGGAAAAAAAAAGAAGCACTTGAGGAAAAAAATCCCCTCTCCCATTAGATTCCCTCTATCCTGTCAGAATGGTTGCTTACTAGTCAGATTTTAGACTTGGATCATCTTTGCCACAATATTATGTATCCTATAAGATTTCTGTATTCATTTGGAACTCCTACTACCATCTTGTAGTTTATAAAAAGATAAATGGGGGAAACTTACGATAAATCAAGAAATACTACCTTCACAGACTATTAATAGCATGCAATCTATGAAATATTACATACATTAAAAGTCTCCAATTAGTGTAGGCCTGGCCTATCATCATTACATAGCATCCTTCCAAGACAATATAGAGAATTCAAAACTGTACAAAAATTTAAAATATGCCGAAAATCCAACAGGTTTTTTTAAAACAATCACACAGATTAGTTCTAAATAATAAAGAAAAAGCTGACCCATGGATCCCCCTCTGCTGCAGGTCTTCAGTATGAAGGACTTCATCAATGTCTTCTGCACCCCACAATCCAGAAGGGGTCCAACAGGCAAGCGGACTACCACCAACTGTTTTGCACAATTATCTTCTCTGCTTCTGTAGGTGTGAGCTGTGAGAACTATACTGGATTTCAAAATACCTCCTTGCCTTAAAAATCCACTAAGCTTTCTCAGCACAAAGCTATTTAAGTAAAAACTGGAACATCTAATTTCAAAACAGGTTTCCTAGTTATACACCAACACTAAGAAAAGTTTAATCTATCCAGGTCCATAATGAACCCAAAGGCTCAGACGACACTTCAGGGCCATTACTTTGAAGGAAAACAGGGAGTAAAGAATGTCAAGATGACCTAACAAAAGCATGGAGCAGAAGCAAGTTAATGAACACTAAATTCAAAGTGTTGAAGAAATCTAAAAGCAAACAGCTAACCTGCAGTGTGTGGGAGGAAAACCCCTACAACTTTAAAACGAAAAGTCTTGATAAGGGAACTCTATATCTGGGTCTCAGTTAAATGGGGATGAAGTTCTGTGCTCAGATTTGTAAGCAGAATATTAACTTTTGCTTACACCGAATTCCCTCACACACTAGTGCGCACTTGTTCATTTTTCAAATTTCTCGACCTCTACTATCCTGTTAAAGGCCTTCACTTGAAGTAAATGCAGCTATTGCCTCTCCCCTTTCACTCAGCACCAGAAAATGACCTAGCAAAAGGCTCTTCTGGCCAAGTCCCTGGGACTGGGACAAACCCACAGCACTGTTGGGTCTGTGAGCTGGGTCATCGCCGCAGCTTCCACCTGCTGAGCAGCAAGCCCTCCTGGACGTTTCCACGATTTTTTATACTGATTAAAGAAGATGAGTAAATCCACCTGCCTTACAAAGTCCACTGCATTTGAAGCTATAATTTGTACAGACAGAAATACTTGTTATTGTTTCTCTCAAAATTGCATTAATTTTTAGCAATGTAATTAGATTAAGTATTTGGCCTTACACCTCTTATCCCACGATTCTTAGTCTGAGGTACAAGGTTCAAATTCTCACCAACAGAAGCTACTAAAGCCAGTCACACAAAACTGGGAGAGTATTTCCCTTTCCTAGAATTGAGTAAACTACTCAGCAGCAGCTAACACTGGCCATTAACAACAGAGAGGACGGTAGCAAGACTTTTGTTCCCAGTGACTGTTAAGAGACTTGAAAGTAGCTGCTATTTTCCAAAAAAGAATTTTTTCTAAATAGTGAAAGAAGTAAAGAAATAACTGGTCTGACCTCCAAGATTCTACTCCTGGAAAGAATGCCTAAGGCAAGGGTTTAGGATGCCTATTGAGCAGAACGTTTCTACAGTTCAATCTCTTCAGAACCTCAGGACCTCACATCTAGCTTCACGCGCCTACTTCAGTATACGATCCGGGCTACCACACTTCACACATCTGGGTACACAAGCCATTAGTGGCAATACAGTCTCATGCAGCAGCAGCACATTAAAATCAAGCCAGCAATTGTTAACCACCCTCAGAATGTTTGGGGACTCATTTCATCATCCTCAATCTACAAACTGAAAAACATGAAGGGATGCAAGTCAGCAGCGTTAACTCATCTGGTGCACTCAAAGTGCTGAGAGAATGCAGAATTTACAGTGTTAAGAGGAAATAAGTCATCGAAACAATTATAAAAATGGTTAAGTATGGTATTTAAATACTAGTTCACTTCTCCTCATACAAGTGGAAGAAAGTGTGGGGTGCGGGTACGGCGCGAGACCACAAGGCTGACCCTTTAGCACAGGCACTGAAGAGCATCCAATGCCACAGATTCTGCAGGAGGAGAAATCCCAAGGGTGTACAGTATTCCTGAGAAAAATCCCAGATTTTTTCTGAATCAGTCTTAACCTGATTTGTTTTACAGAGTTATGCTATTATACCTCTGATATATTTAGAAATGGTCACTTTATTTTACTCCAAACAGGTCAGCATAGTACAAATAATGGCAGAAAGACCCATTTGTTCAGATTCAGCTTGCTTTTTTAATACTGGGGAATAAACCAAAAAAACATAAGTAGTTTGTGTCATTTGTATCTTTCCTTCATTTCACTGGAGGGGAAGCCCCAGGGTCTTTTGATAATCTGGGAAGACCTGACTATTCAGGGAAGCATAGCCCTGCTGAGCTTTACTCAGAATAATGCATGATAGACTCAACATAATTCCCGGGAAAGAGCCCAGTCACTCCATTCATAACTCCCTCATACCAACCATCATCATTCTTCTTGATGACATAAATAATGGCTCCTTCCTGAAAGGACAGCTCATCTTCCTTGTCTTTTGTATAATCATAAATTGCCACAACTAGAGGGAAAAAAAAATAGGATGTGAAAAGAATAATATTCCTAGAGAGACAAATAAATGAATAATATCCATCCTTTCCCAACTTCTGCAGCACTTCAAACAGTAACTTTCTAAACACAGACTAAAAAATTTGTTTCCTAATACCCAGTTTATATACAGTGGAATCCCATCTTGGAGAGGTTAGGTTCAAAACAGCATAAATGGCAAAAAAAAAAAAAAGAAAAGAAAAAGAAAACGAAAGAAAGAAAAGAAAAAAATCACATTTAGTCAAACTTACCTTCAAGAGCCTATGGACAAATACCTCATTGAAGAAAGATGCACAATCCCAGAATCGGGAAAGATGGCTGCTACTTCAGTTGAGCTTGTATTGAAGCACCATATTGTGTAAATCTTTAAACATGAGAATTATACTAGTGCAGTGACATGCACCATAAAAGGCAAGTGAGAAATTGAGAGAGAATAAGGGAATAGCAGATTTACTTCTCCTTTCTCAAACTCCCTAGAACTTATATTGGCATAAGGCAGCATGTGTTTTGAAAGAATATATATAGTAGATTCCCATTGTTCACACATATAACTTGTAGGAAATTCAGTAAGTTAGAGTTAAATTGGGATACCCTGTAACTTGCTCAACTCCATGTAAAGATTTATCTTTTTTATAAAAAGATCCTCTGCATCTTCATTATACCACTCAGAACTCCAGTCTCCATCTGGCCATCATTCTGATAAGTATATACTGACTATTAGTTTTTCATACAACCTTAATCTTCACATACAAAAACAAAACTACAACAGGGACTTAGGATGTAATGCAACTTACCCTAGTTAATTTTTGTTTCTGGGCTGCTTTAGTAAAATTTAAATGGCTTTCTTAATCTCTGAATATTTGCCATTATAGTAATCTATTACAGATGCCAGAAAATACTTTGAAGGACTCTAAGAGGAACCTAATTTTTTTTTTTTTAAGTTTATTTTTTTGAGAGAGAGAGAATGGCAAGCGGGGAGGGGCAGAAAGAGGGGGAGGGGCAGAAAGAGAGGGAGGGGCAGAAAGAGAAGGAAGGGCAGAAAGAGAGGGACTGCTCGGACTCATGCCTGAGTCACCCAGGCGCCCCAGTCTAGGAAGAGTTTATAGTGTGGATTTCTCAAAATATAACCAAACACCTAAACACAAATGCAACAGAAGTTTAACTAAATGTAAGAGAATGTAAGATATGTAGAGTACTTAGTACTTCGTCAACCTAGGTTTTGTTAGTTTTTTGTGGTTTTTTTGAGTTGATAACATTCTTGATGCTTCTGGAAATGCAAACCCACTGCAAGTAATTAGCAGGAGAATATCCCCCAAGTCCTGTTAATTCTACCTCCTATGTCTCTCAAATCCAAATACTTTTCTCCATCATGACAGTCACTGCCCTACTTAGGGCAGCAGTCTTTAAAAATACACATATCACTGGGGTGCCTGGGTGGTTCAGTCAGTGAAGCAACCAACTTCAGCTCAGGTCATGATCTCGTGGTTTGTGAGTTTGAGCCCCGTGTCAGGCTCTGCGCTGACAGTTCAGAGCCTGGAGCCCATTTTGGATTCTGTGTCTTCCTCTCTCTCTCTGCCCCTCCCTTGCTTGTGCTCTGTCCCTCTTTCCTTCAAAAATAAACATTAAACACACACACACACACACACAAACACACATATCGCTGGCTGTACCTGAAGATTTTCTAAATTTTTTTTTTTTTAACGTTTATTTATTTTTGGGACAGAGAGAGACAGAGCATGAATGGGGGAGGGGCAGCGAGAGAGGGAGACACAGAATTGGCAGCAGGCTCCAGGCTCTGAGCGATCAGCCCAGAGCCCGACGCGGGGCTCGAACTCACGGACCGCGAGATCGTGACCTGAGCTGAAGTCGGACGCTTAACCGACTGAGCCACCCAGGTGCCCCTGTACCTGAAGATTTTCTAAACAGTATGAGTGACAGATAATTTTATAGAGATACTTTCTAGATTCTCAAAGCATACTGCTTCCTTACACCTAAAGCTAATATAATACTGTATGTCAACTATACTAGAATTTTAAAAAAACTGCTTCCTAAATCTGATCTGCTAGAAATGATACCTTCAACCAGACATCAGTCATAAAAATTCTCATTTCCTATTTATCTTTCTCCTACTTCACAGAAGTACAGTTGTGGACCACCTTAAAGTACAAAACAGCTCTGGGTACCAAAAGGACAATTCAAGAATCTGGTGTGGTATTAAAAAGGAATTACTCCACTGATTAACCCAACCTGCTTCCAAGTTGTTCCCCTTCCTTTGCTTTTAACAAAATTTAAAAAATACTATACTGGAGTTATCAGCTGACACATGATCACAAACATAATTTTTAAAGACAACATTATTTGATTTTTGGTACATAAACTCTGAAGGAGTTTAAAAAATGAGTGACAGTGTCACATAAAAATACTTCCATTTGCATCTACTTATTTATGTAAACAAGATTTTCAGCACCACTGCCTCGCCCTAATCTGTTGCTTAGGGAGGTATAAATTCCTGGTTTTCTTATCTCAGATTATCTTTTTTTCAAAAAAAGTTAAAATATAACTTTCATGGGAAGTTATTAATCTGCTTAAAAATCTTACACAATTTCCCTCCACCATTACATTTTTTTAAAAGAAAAAAAATGCAAACACCTCAGGCTGGTGGTATTTCAAGGCTTCCCACCGCTAATTACAACGTACTTCTCTTCCTACACTCCTACCCCACCCTCTCCGTGCCACCGACCCATGCTGCATGTGACACTACTCACCATATCCCAGACCACCTTGCCCTTTCACTCAAGAGGATTCCCTCTGCCTGAATGGCCCTTTCTATCTTTCTTCTTTGCCTGAGACACACCACAAAGCCATGTTCTCTGAGCAGCCTTCTGGAATCCCCAGATAGAATTAATGGCACTATTCACTTTTTGACAATTGTTAATGGAGCATCCGTGCTAATTTCTAGAGATACAAAGATGAACAAGACAAGGGACTGTCATAGTCTTGTGAGGACAGAAATATTATCTGATAAATTACCATACACTGTTTATACTTCTAACAAGAAGTTACAAGAACACAAGAACAGATGGCTTGTTAGAAGGAAAGAATAGAAAATAGGACATTGACAAACAGGTTGAAGTTTGCCAGGAAGAATTTAACACTATTAAATAGTATAGCTAAAACTCAATCCCAGGTTTGAGATCAAGCTAAGGACAGTGGTTAAGAATGTAGGCTCTCGGAGCACCTGGTGGCTCAGTCGGTTGGGTGTCAAACTCTTTTATTTTTTTTTTAAGTTCATTTATTTAGAAAGTGAGCAGGGGAGGGGCAGAGAGAGAGGGAGAATCCAAAGCAGGTTCCACACTGCCAGTGCAGAGCCCGACGTGGGGCTTGAACTCACAAAACTGTAAGATCATGACCTATGCCAAAATCAAGAGCCAGATGCTCAACCAACTAAGCTACCTAGGCACTCCTGATTTCTGACTCTTTGATTTTGGCTGAGGTCATGCTCAGCATGGAGCCTGCTTAAGATTTTCCTTCTGCCCTTCTCCCCCACTCTCTCTCTCTAAAATCAATGAATGAATGAATGAATGAGGGCTCTAGGTTTATACCACCTAGTTCAAATCCCAGCTCTAGCACTTACAAATTTACAGAACATACTTAACTTTCCTAAGCTTCTTTTTACTCAAATGTATAATGGGAATTACAATAGTGCTAACACCTCAAAACAACGTAATATTGTCATATTAAATGAAACAATGCACATACAATATGTAGCCTAGGACTTTGTTTATAAGTAACCATTATCTATATAAATGTTAGCTTCTTTTATTATCATTTATAGCTATTATGATATACTGTCTTTTCTTTTTTTTTTTTATTTAAAAAAAATTTTTTTTTAATTTTTTTTTTCAACGTTTATTTATTTTTGGGACAGAGAGAGACAGAGCATGAACGGGGGAGGGGCAGAGAGAGAGGGAGACACAGAATGGGAAACAGCTCCAGGCTCTGAGCCATCAGCCCAGAGCCTGACGCGGGGCTCGAACTCACGGACCGCGAGATCGTGACCTGGCTGAAGTCGGACGCTTAACCGACTGCGCCACCCAGGCGCCCCTACTGTCTTTTCTGAAACACTAACATTTTCTGTTATATAAATAATTTTTGAACCTCAATTTCCTAGTTTGCAAAATGGGGAGATTAACTGCCTTACTAATGTAATAAGTCTTGCTTTATGTCAGGCACATAATAAATACATGAAAATATCTGTTCTTAGGGCATCTGGGTGCCTCAGTCAAAGTTTGACTCTTGATTTCAGCTCAGGTCATGATTTCCTGAGGGTCGTGGGATTGAGCCCCGTTTTGAGCTCTGTGCTGAGAGGGGGGAAGCCTGCCTGGGATTCTCTCTCCCTCTCTCTGCCCATCCCCTGCTTGCACACATGCACATGCTCTCTCTCTCAAAACAAATAAACCTTAAAAAAAAATAAAGAAAACATCTGTTCTTTACCCAAGTTAAATCAAGATACTTACATACACACATTATCTCCATTTGGCAGATAAGGGCAGTAATCAAGGGTTAAGATAAACCACCTCCTATGACAGTGGTTCTCGACCCTGGAAGAACTCTAAAAAATTCTGATGCCTGGGTTCTGTGCCCATGGATTCTGATTTCATAGGTCTGGAGGTGCAGACATATTAAATGCTGCCTAGATGACTCTAAAATGCTGGCAGGGTTGAGAACCAGGCCCTAAGGTCTAAGACAACAAAATGAGTCATTAGACAGTGGCCTTAACATTGATGCACACTCAAACAAAAAAAGCAACCACAAGCTAAGCATGGTTGGTTATTTTTGTTTTGCCAGAAAGAGTAAGAAAGAGCTTAACTGATTTTCATGTTTTAAAAAGATCTGAAATTATCAGCTAAATCAAACTTTGAAAAATATCTTTGGGAACAATTCAGGCATATTCTTTTAAACTTTAAAGGGTTACTTGGACTGAAAACAACTAATTTTCCTCTCTTAAAATTTCTCCAGAGTTTTACACGTTCACCGAGGAGTACATTTTTAGAAAGCAAAATCTTTCATTGGCCGTTCTCAAGGAATAACTGAGCTGGTTCTTCAGAGCTGAAAACTGTCATCCCTTAACTAGGACAGTGTTAAAATTATGTAGGGAGTTTGTAAAATGTCAATGCCCAAAGCCACACCCTAGTGTAGTGCCTTGGGCTCATTTGTTTTTCTTAAAAACAGCTTTATTAAGGTTTAATTCAGACACAAAATACAACAAATAAGTTTTGCCAAATATATGCACTTGTATATATGACAAATATATAACCACCACCACAATCATATAGAACATGCCCATCACCCCAAGATTTCCTTTTGCTCCTATGTAATTTTCCTCACCATGGAAACTACTGATCCAGATTTCATTTAAATGGAATCATGAAGTATGAGTCTTTAGTGTCTAGATTCTCTCATTAGTATAATTGTGTGAAATCCATCCATGTTGTTGCTTGTATCAGTAAGTCTGTTTCTTTTCATTGCTGAACAGTATTCCACTGAATGGATGGATATCTCATAAGTAGTTTATCCATTCACTAGTTGAAAGATACAAGGGTTGTTTCTAGGTTTTAGCTATTACGAATAAAGCAGTTATGAACATCTGAGTTCAAGTCTTTGTGTGAACATAGATCTTCACTCCTCTTAAGTAAATAGGAAGGAACTGACAGACCAGCTTGCAGGTGTATGTCTAACTTCATAAACTGCCAACTGTTTCTCAAAGTAGCTGAAACATGCTGCACTCTTAAGAGTGCTTAAGTGCTTAAGAGCTACAGTTTCACCACACTTTCTCCAACACTTGGTATTGCCAGTGTTTCTAACTGCAGCCATTGTAGAGGGTGTGTAGCGGTATTTAGTTTGGTTCACTGTAGCTTTAATTTGCATTTCCCTAGTGACTAATAATGTTAAGCATCTTCTCATGTGCTTATTTGCAATTCATGGACCTAACTGGTGAAGTGTGTTCAAATTTTTTTTTCTCAAGTTGTCTGCCTCCTTACTGAGTAATTTAGCGAAAATTCTTCCTAATCTACGCTTGCCTTGTCATTTTCTTTAGTGTCTTTGAAGAAGAAAAGTTTAATGAAATTCAGTCTGTCAATTTTTTCTTTTAAGCTCCATGTTTTTATACACTCTATACATTTTTTTTTCCTAATCCCAGGACACAAAGATTTTTCTCCTGTATTTTTCTCCAGAAGTTGTATAGTTTAGGTTTTACATTAGGTCTATAATACATTTCAAGTGAATTTTTGTGTAAAGTAAGGGTAGAAAGTACATGAACATTAGCTTTGTACCTTTACTTTACCATACATAAAATTTTTCCTGGATTTATTCCTTTTAGGTAGGGCAAATCTGATTACTGTTGCTCTACCTTGGCCAGCAGTGGAAGTCTGCTATTTGTTATTGTAAGCTCCACAGGTGATGGATATTCAACTGTTAGAGCATATTTGTTGAAAACACTATCCTTTTCCACTGAATTACCTTGGCACCTTTGTCAAACAATATATGTGGATCTATATTCTATTGATTTATATTTCTAAACTTAACATCAGCACCACACTGTCCTGAATACTATAGCCTTAGTTTAAATCTTCCAACATTAGTCTTAAAAAAAAAACAACAGTTTTGATTCTACTAGATCTCTTGCATTTCTATGTAACTATCAGAATCCCCTTGTCAATTTCCATAAGAATGGCTGGTGGAATTTTTATTGGAATTGCATTAAATTTGCAGCTCAATTTGGGGAAAGCCAGTCTTTAAACAATAATGATTAAAGAACATAATGTATCTCTCAATTTATTTAAGGCCCTTATTAATTTCTTTTCATGTTTTATAGTTTTCATTATATAGGTCTTACATATATTTTATTAAAGTTATCCTTAAGTATTTCATATTTTTGATGTTACTACAAAAGGTACAGTTTTGTAAATCTCAATCTCCAAGTATGTGTTGCTAGTATATAAAAATCCAATTAACTTTTCACATTGACTTTGTAGCCTATAATCTTGCTAATAAGCTTGCCTTTTAGTTATACCAGCTTTTTTTGTAGATTGCCTTGGGGATTTTCTACACATAAGATCATATCTGCAAATGAAGATTATTTCATACTGTCCCACATATCTGTTGCTCTGTTTTTGGTTTTTCTCCATGTCTCATTTTGGATAGTTTCTATTGTCATATCATCAAAGTTGCTGATTTTTTCTTCTGAAGTACCTCAGATACTGTGATTTTTCATCTCTAAGAAATTCTATATGGGTTTCTCTCTTTTTGTAAAGATATTCTACTTCTATCTCATGTTTCTGTTTTCTTTTACTTTCTTGGACATATGTGGCATTTGTAATATTTTTTGTAATAGCTATATAACATCCTTTGTTAATTCCTCCAGCTCAGTCATTTTAGGTTTGTTTCTACTGACTGACTCTTTAGTTACGACTTACATTTTCCCGCCCCCCCCCTTTTTTTTTTTATATATATTTTGTAATTTTTGATTGGATGCTGACACTGTGAATCTGACTTTTTGGTGCACTGGATGTTTTTGCTTTTTTGAACAATGTTGGATTTTGTTCTGGAGATCAATTAAGTTACCTGAAGTCAGTTGGATTGCTTTCAAGGTCTGCATTCAAGCATTTATTGGGGC